TTTGAATGCAGATTTGTAGAGAATTGCACCAGAAACATTTAGAGGTATGCCACATCAAAATCCGATTAAGATAAGTTTAGTTATGGAGTAAAGAACTTCATCCTTGGGACATTTCTTAATTTTTTAGAATTTCTACATCAGAAAAATTAACATAAAAGAAAATAACATCAAAAAAATTACTCTACGAGTAACCGGTATAAATAGTATTTGGCACCGTAAAATTCGACGTTTGAAACACATTTCGCAATTACGTGTTTTATTATTTATGTATTTTTTATATACTTTATTCAAATTCTATAAAAACGATACTAAGACTGTTGAAACCGTTATTTTAACGGTTGCAGTATTTTCAATACTCAATAGTATATTTTGGCAACTATCGCAAACTGAGCAGTGCTCTTAAACGGCCACACTGTCGTTCGTATTCCTAAGGTGCAGCCCTGGTCACTCTGGGCACGTAGTCAAAATGAGGTTTTTTTCCGGCGTTTTCGTAATTTTATTAATTAAACTTTTCCAAAATGCCAACGCCGGCGAGATGGAAGTCGTCGGTTGCGGAGGGTTCATCAAGAGCCACGCCGAGATCGACTTTTCCCGTGTGGAGATCAAACTGTAAGTAGCAGTTCCAATTGGGGGTGACCTGATAAGAATTGTGGCGCATGGTGGCCGCTAATTGAATAATAAATTAACTGGCCCGTATGTGATTAACCTAATTCCATCTCGTTCTGCAGACTTACCAAGCAGGGATCCCTGAAGGACAAGACGGATTGCTCACCCTCAAACGGATATTACTTCCTGCCCATTTACGATAAGGGCGACTACCTGCTCAGCATTTCTCCGCCGCCGGGTTGGAGCTTCGAGCCGGAACAGGTCGAGTTGAACTTCGATGGCAAGACGGACGTTTGCAGCCAGGGTCGCGATGTGAACTTTGTGTTCAAGGGCTTTGGGATCACCGGTCAGGTGGCCCTCGCCGCCGGCGGCGGAGCCAGTGGCGTGGACGTGGAACTGCGATCTGAGCAGGGCGAAGTCCGGCGCACAAAGAGCGATGCGAACGGAGTGTTCTCCTTTACGCCCATTATTCCCGGTAACTACGTGGTGAAGGCCTCGCATGCAAGGTGGCACTTCTCCAAGGCGGAGCACAAGGTGGTCGTGGTAAGCGGAAACACAGAGCTGCCGGCGAACTCCTTAGTGGTCTCTGGATTCGATGTGGTTGGTCGTTTTGATTCCAGCTCGCAGCTTCCCGGAAATCTGGGCGTGGCTCTTTACAAGAAAAAAGGAGTAAGTCTAATCCTTTGCTAAACCCTATTCTGAACAAAATTTGTTTTTAACTTTTATAACCACATCAAATAACTTTTATTAAACTTTATTTTTATTTTGTGACTCAATGTGACAAATGCCTTCTAGTATTTTAACTTTACCAATTATTAATTTTTTGACTTTCTCTTTTTAGCAATCTTTAGTGCCAAAATGTGAGACATCCTCATTAGCGCCGGCTAATAGTGTCAATAGCGCATACGAATCCCCATCCTCCTGCTTCTCCCAGTTGGACAAATCAGGAGAGTATATTTTCAAGAATGTGCCATCCGGAAAGTATCTGTTGCAAGCTATCAACCTAGATTCCAAGTTGAAGCTGCACTTGAGTCCCGAGCTGTTGGAACTAGAAGTAGGCAAGGATACGCTGCAAGTCAAGGAAGAATTCAAGATCACAGGCTTCACAATTTCCGGTCAGGTGCTGACCTCCGCCGGAGGTCAACCCTTAAAGTCAGCTGTTGTCAAAGTAAATGGAAAGAAGGTGGCCGAGACTGATGCCCAGGGCTCGTATACGTTGGAGAACTTAAAGGCAGGCACTGTCAACATTGAAGTGGAGTCTTCCCAGCTGCAGTTTTCTCCACTGCAAGTCAAGGCTCAGATCAACACCGCTTCCCTGCCCACCATTGTTCCATCTGCCTATGAGGTGTGCGGAAAAGTAGTGTCCCCGAAATCGCACAATGTTGGACTGACCAAGATTGGCTCCACCTTCCACTCGTCGGCCTCCACAAATGCACAGACCGGAAACTGGTGCGCCTTTCTCCCTGTTGGCAAATATACCATTGAAGTCCTGACCACAGATGCAGACAAGGCTGCTGGAGTGCAGTTCTTCCCTGTTCAGCAGCAGACGGAGGTTCGCGATGCACCGGTCAACGGCATAACCTTTTCCCAGCTACGCGCAAAGATTCGTGGTGAACTGCAGTGTCTGCCTGATGCTACCGCCACCTGCACATCCGCTGAGGTCACCCTGCAGGCTTTAGATGCCACCGGACAGCCCACGGAGAACAAGTGGAAGGCCAGGGCACATCGTAAGTAATCATTATTTAGTTTAACCATAAGAAAAAGATGAATTTTAGCCTTAGAACATTTAAGTTTAAAGTGGATAATTTGGATTGGTTTTAGATAATTCCACAGAAATGCAAAGGAGCTATCATCCAACTTCAAACCAGTTTTTGTAATTTAATCAAGAAGTACCATACAGTGTACTAGGTAACCTACCCAAAATTATTTTATACGCATTACGTTACCACTGGACGCTGATAAGTAATAAGATTACAACCGTAGATAATGTATCTTTGGCGTAATGGTCTTGTTTGAATTAAGATGGTCTTCCGCCTAACTATGTATCAGTAAGATATCCATTTGCTATTATACAACTTATGCCATTGCATTGTAGGTGGCAAATACGTTTTTAAGGATATGCTTCCTGGTCCCTATGAACTTACGATTCCCCAGGGAAATCTCTGCTATGAATCGACCCGCGTGTTCCTGAACGTTGCAACTGCCGAAGAAGATGCACCACCATTTGTGCACAAGGGCTACGAGGTGTCCATTATCTCTAGCCATCGGGCACTGGTAAGTCTGACTGTTAAAATTACCTAATATCTTAAATTATCTAAACTTTCAATTTAAGATGAAATACACACACGTCACTGGACCTTCTGAGCCAAAGGCACCTACTGAATCACTGAAGATTGCGTCAGGAGTAAATACATTCTGCGTGAGCAAGTATGGTAGCTACGATTTCAAGCTAGAGGGCTGCCACACGTATGATGCGTCGCTACCTAGCAAGTTCATCACCCCAGAACCAGATCAGTTGCAAACACTAATCATTAATGCAGTGGCCCACAAGACTGGCGTTCGTGTTCTATCCACAGAACCCACAGCCGATTCCATAAAACTGGTGCTCGAGTCAGAGTCGCTGGGTCAGGAGGTGATCACACCCATTGCTGAGTCCCACAAAGTAGATGGCAAGTTCGCCTACCGCTATGACACGTATCTGAAACCGGAACAGGTCCTTCGTATTACACCAGTGAGCGATGTCCTACTTTTTGCCCCCCAACAACACGAAATTGTTGGCAGCAGTGATTGTGTAGATATTGCCTTTAACTTTGTGGCTACCAGAGGTTTGATTCTACGCGGAAAGGTGGTTCCTGCCATTAAGGATGCAAAGGTCACACTGTCATTCCCTGATCAGCCTGAGTTGCAGAGCCTGGAAGTACTCACCTCCGTAACCGGAGAATTTAAGTTTGGGCCCATTGAGGAGTCTCTAGCTTTTGATCTTAAAGCCGAAAAGGAGTCCTATGTGTTCAGCGACTACAACCGCCAGACAGCTTCGTTTAGTGCTCACAAACTCTGCGAGATTTCCGTGGTTGTCAAGGATGAGGATGGTCAGACATTGGGCGGAGTCCTCCTCTCGCTGAGCGGTGGTGAGAGCTATCGCAAGAACCTCGTCACCGGCGATAATGGAGCTATTAATTTCCACTCCCTCTCGCCATCGCAGTATTACCTGCGCCCCATGATGAAGGAGTACAAATTTGAGCCCAACTCAAAAATGATTGACATCAAGGATGGCGAGACTGTCTCCGTTGTCCTAGTGTAAGTAAAATTTCTGATCATTCCTTAACATGTAAAGCATTTCTTATTCTTTTAGTGGCAAGCGTTTCGCTTACTCGATCTTTGGCTCTGTAACTTCCCTTAACGGAGATCCCTTCGCCGGCGTTAATGTTCAGGCCACAGCCGAGGATGGTTGTCCCCAGCAACAGGAAGAGGCCACCAGCGAGGCGAATGGACAGTACCGCATCCGGGGCCTGCAACCTGGCTGTAGCTACTCCGTTCACGTCGTCCCGGACAAGGAAATCGTGGAGCGATCTATTCCTGCCCAGCACATAGTTAAGGTGGCCAGCGAGGATGTGCGCGACATAAACCTGGTGGCTATTAGCCCCCTAAAGATTGTGGACATCACCGCCAGGGTGACGGCCACACTCAATGAGCACTACAAGACGCTGCGCATTGTGATGTACCGCAAAGGAAACTCGGATTCTCCTGTATTCTCGCAGCGTGTCGGCACTCCGGTGAACCCAAAAGCAAGACTGAATCCAGGCATCACCGTCTTCTTCCCTCGCATTCCTTTGGACGGCAAGAGCTACGTGGTAGAACTGCAGTCCACCCTCTCCGATAAAACATATACTTACAAGCTGCCATCGACTACGTTTGTGGCTGACCGGGGTTCCGTGTTCGTTGAGCTGGAGTTTAAGCCGGAGGTGCGCGCAGCCGAAGCGGATCTCAACCAGAATTCGATTTCGGCTCTGGTGCTAATCGCCTTGGTGGCCATTGCCTTCTTTAAGCAGGATCTGGCCACCAGTTTCCTCAGCTTCGTGTGGAGCAAGCTTAACGATGTCGCCGCCAATCTAGCCCAGCGGCAGAAAAGCAAGACGCAGGTGCGCAAAAACGAGCCAATCAACCAGCGCGAAATCGAACAGATGGCTGACCAGATAAATGCCATCAAGAAGAAAAAGACCAAGAAGATTTAGTTTCGACTGTTAGTCATTTTAGTTGATCAATTTAGTCACATTTTGAGGTATTCGCGGTAGGTATTCATCATATGGTTTTGTTTTCTGTGAGATTTTGTTTAACCCTGTTGTAACTTAAACATTTTTAATTTGAATTGCATTTAAGAAAACGTTGTAATTTTTCACTTTCCATACATAGATTGAGGCAAGTTTATTTGTGTTCGTTATTCACTCTTATAGCTAAAATAAATAAATACAATTAAATAGTTTAATTAGACAAGGCTGTTCTACTGCATCAAGATGTGCTCGGCAATGGAGCTTAGTTTGCGATTCTTGTGTTTGGCATGTCGCCTTTCGGCCTGCAGGTTGATCTCATTCTGCGAATCCTCGCTTCCTGATTCCTCGGTGGCTGCCTGCTCCTCCTGTTGCTGTTCAGCTTCTTGTTGGTCCGCCTCCTGATGTCCCGCCGACTCCTGAGTTTCCTCGGCATTCTCGTTCTCGACGAAAACGCACTCGGGATTGACGGCAGCACACTCGCCAAAGCTGGTGGCTCTGGCCATTGGGTTCCTGGCATTGGTGTACTTCTCAAAGAATCCGCGACCCACAATGCGGAAGGCCATGCTGGTCATGGGATTCAACTTGGATCTGAACTCCATTTCACAGACGAATCGTCGTCGGCACGCCTTGGAGTCCAGGCCCAAAAAGGCGAACATAAAATCGGCAATCCTAAAGGAGAATTAACGAAATGTAACCTAGTCTAGTGAATATTAAACAACATGTACTTACTGCTCTTCGGCGGGCATTTGGCGAGCCACACTCTCTGAAATTTCCTCATCCACAATCTCCACCTGCTCCTCCTCCTGCTCATCCTGCTCATCCGCAGTGCTACGCTTGCCGCGTCGACGGGTATCCACGATACCAGATGGGCCACTTGGTCCAGAGGAAGAGGGAGATTCGTTATGGTAGTCGCCTTGCACATCAGAGACTATGTCCGATCCTGCATAGCTGCTGTATCCGGAATAGGGCTCGAAACTGGCGCTGGAGTCAAAAGATGATGGTGCATCATAGTGCTCCGAGTGATCGTGGTCCAGAGAGTAGGGAATGTGATCGTGATGGGAGAAAGACGAAGGACTAAAGAATACAATTCATTAATAATTAACCGCTAAGAGTGGCATGAGTCGTATGATCTACTTACGGATGATCCAGGATGATCTCCTGGTTGCACCTGGCATGGGGCCAGAAATAGCGCAGACCCAAGTAAATGGCACTGCCCACAAAGAAGGATACGATTACCACTTTCACCTTGATCCAGTAAGCAATGGCAATGGGCCACAGGTGACGATCTGTGGAGACAACCAATAAACATCAACACGATTAAATCATTTACCATTGCATCAGATTTGGAAAACTTTCACTGCTCGACTTCTATTTCTACTTTTGAAAGAAGGTTTCACGACAATGTATTAAACAATATCTATGCCCAAGATTGAAAGTGAAAAGTGTTAATTGAGAGCAATTCGTGTTCGTTCAATTTGGATGAGGTGCGTCTGGCCTGGGATTCGAACTGTGGGGAAACTTTCCAAAGAAAGTAGGATGGTTAACGCCCATGAGATGGGATTATGTTCATTCCAAGCGATCAGAATACTTGTAATACTAGCTCGCTAATTGTTATATAAATTATGCTTTTTGATAACATCGGTAGTATCTATGTACTCAAATGTGTCTGGGGGACTATTGTTAAGTAACTTTTTGGAAGCAGTTCTGTGTCTGTTTAATCAAAGAATAGCAAAAAGGGATAGAGCTATCTAAAAATGACATGTAAAATCTAGGATTGTAATATCTGATATTACTTACACCAGAACATGTGGTGGCGATGGCGGCGAGTACGTCCCTCAAACTCCATTAGGTCACGGCCGAAATTTTCCCATGTGTCCTCCACTTGGTTATCCAATTGCGCCGGGGCCTCCTCGTTCTTCGTCTCCTCGCAAAACACCAGGGTGAAGTAAACGACCAGGAGCACAGCTCCGTACCAAATGATGTTCTTGTGCATAGTTATTTAATGATGTAGCGATTTAGCGGTTTAAAGAGTAAAAGCTGGTATCCCTGTGGCTTTGGCTTTGGTTGGTCACTGCAGAACCGAATGATGCAGCTCGAAGCCGGGCATCCGCCTTATATACTACCGGCTATCGGTGATCCGCTCCAAGTTCAGAGTGATAATTGAAGCGTCGTTGTTGTAGCTTTGCGCGCAGATTTTCACACATGCGTATTGCCAGCGATGATAAGTTTAATGCCCAAGACATGCATTTGAAATTTCTTTAAACTAGTGCAATTTCACTTTCAGTCACTTTCAGTCGTGCCCGCGTTTCGAGACACTTTTGTTTTTAATTCAATTAGTATCTATTACGAAATATGGGCCCAAATGTAAGGTAATTGACAATTGGTGATTTTCCCAGAACAGTTTTCAAATGTTATGTAAAACCCCGCCAAATCGAACCGGTTAAAAAAGTTCTAACGGACTATCGACAATTCGAACGCAATAGGTCAAGAACTTCCATCACTAATTAAATTTTGTAAACATTTGTTGACTTTTTTAATATCATAAATAAATGCTTGTTTGTTGAATTATGTCCAGCTTAAAGTCGAGCGACGTGGACAGCAATCCGGCTTCGGATCCCCAGGCACCCATTACCCGGAAAGGCTTCCTCATGTCGCTGAGCACCGGCACACCAATGCCGATTCCCGAGCAAAATGTGGTAAGTTAGTGGGCTTCTAGCTAATCCTCCCCAGAACATTTGATTTACGCAAATCTCTCAGTTTGGCCGCTGTCGTCCTGTCTCCGAATTCGAGAAACTTAACCGCGTCGGCGAGGGCAGCTATGGAATTGTCTGTAAGTTTGGCTCCTCCAGATGCATTTAACCCATTGGGTAACCCGTGGAAATCCCGTACAGATCGCGCACGTGACACCCGCAGCAATGAGATAGTGGCCTTAAAGAAGGTCCGCATGGATCAGGAGAAGGATGGGCTGCCAGTCAGTGGACTCCGCGAGATCATGATCCTAAAGCAGTGCCACCATGAGAATATTGTCCGCTTGCGTGAGGTGGTAGTGGGCAAAAGCCTAGACAGCATCTTCCTTGTAATGGATTTCTGCGAGCAGGACCTAGCCTCTGTGCTAGACAATATGACGCAGCCCTTCACCGAGTCCGAGGTAAAGTGCATCACGTTGCAGGTGCTAAAAGCCTTGAAGTACCTCCATTCGCGCTTTATGATCCATAGGGATCTTAAGGTCTCCAATCTTCTGATGACCGACAAGGGCTGCATCAAAGTTGGTAGGCAGATAAGCAAACTTTAATCCCGATATCGCCCAATTATTATTATTCCATTCCCCAGCTGATTTCGGACTGGCCCGTATGTATAGCAATCCCCCGAAACCAATGACTCCGCAGATGGTTACTTTGTGGTACAGGGCACCGGAACTTCTCTTGGGCTGCCGAACACACACCACCGCGGTGGATATGTGGGCTTTTGGCTGCATTCTTGGTGAGCTGCTGCTCGGAAAACCACTGCTTCCGGGCAATTCGGAGATTGGACAATTGGACATGATCATTGATCTATTGGGTGCTCCATCGGAGTCCATTTGGCCTGGCTTTGCCGATTTGCCCGCTGTACAAAATTTTACCTTAAGTCAGCAGCCCTACAATAATCTTAAGACGAAGTTTAGCATGATTGGCCAATCGGGCAGGAATCTCCTGAATATTTTGTTTATCTACAACCCAAATACAAGAGCCACTGCCGAAGAGTGTCTGAGTAGCAAGTACTTTGTCGATCCGCCGCAGGGTGAGTTAAAACTTTTATGGTAACAAAAAAGGTGACCAGAACTGACCAAACCGTATTCCAATTTTTAGCTTGTGACCCGCGAATGATGCCCACTTTCCCACAACACCGGAACAATGCTGCACCTCCTCCACCTGCCCAGCCTCCCGCTGACATTCCAATCTCGGATTTGCTCAATGTATTTATCAAGCGCCAACGCATGGAGTAAATGAAAACGAATTTATTTGAACATTATGCAATGCACTGGGTGTAAAACTACAGGTACGGCCGGTCCATAGGCGTTTGCTTGGCCTTCCTGTCGCGGGCGCGTGGAAACCAGCGGTGCTTAGTTGTGTGGGTCAGCTGCATTAGCTCCTGGCGAGCCACTTCTGGATGTTTGCTCTTAAAGGCCCGCATCGCCGTCTTCAGTGCCGATTCCTTAACCACCGCGGAGCTTTGAATCTCGCTGATCTTTGGCAGCGGCTGGGTGTTCTCGTAGGGAACGGGTGTGTCCGGATGCCACGCCACAATGGTGCGTCCATTTTTGGTCACCGCCACGGCCTCCACCAGGCTCTTGCCACCGACGGCATTGCGCTGCACGGCGCTCGAGGAAAATAAACGAAACCCACCGTATAAACGTGCCGCTGACATTTTTTCAATTAGAGATGAACCGAATGGAACAGCTGAAATGTTATCGATTTAATTTAATGACAGTGCTACCACATTAGCTATTTTTAATTTCCACTTGGAAAAACAGCTAAATATTTGATTTTTACTCTGTTTTCTAAAATTGCAAAACACTGGCTTGTAGAGGGTTAGACAAAAAGGTTTACATATATTTGCAGTCTTAAATGTGCATTCATCGTTTTCTATTCACTGCCATCTCTAACTTCCCAGCCGGCTTTAGTACTCGATACCAGGCGCTTATCATTTCTTGTCACAGCTGATTTCCATTTGAAAACAAACATTCCGGTCGAAATGTGGATTTCTTACGCCCTAGTGGTCCACGTACTGCTTCTGGGCTCGATTTTCGTGATTTACTTCCGGTCGCCGGTGATCACGGGCCTAACTCCGCAGAAGCAACTTTTACATTACGGCCTGGAGCCAGCAGCGAATCGTTTAGTGCTAATCGTGACAGATGGACTTCGCGCGGACTCCTTCTTCGAGGAGAACTGCCGCTATGTGCCCCACCTGCGCGAGATCTTCTTGCGGGAGGGCGTGGTAGGCGTGTCACGCACTCGTGTGCCAACGGAAACTCGACCCGGACACATAACCCTGATCGCCGGACTCTACGAGGATCCATCTGCCGTGCTGCGCGGCTGGAAAAGTAACCCCATCGATTTCGACACGCTCTTCAACCGAAGCTCACAAACCTACGCTTGGGGCGCAAGCGATGTTATCAATGTGTTTTCCCATGTGTCCAACGGCGGCCTAATACATCTCCGGTTTTACGAAGATCTGGACTTTTCGCCGGGCTACGATGCCTACGAACAGGACGAGTGGGTGTTCAAGAGGGTGAAGTTCTTGCTCCAACAGAAGAGTGAACAGCTTCAGAGGGCGGAGCATGTCGTGTTCTTTCTGCACCTCCTTGGACTGGACACCGCTGGACATGTTCACAAGCCGGGCGCCCCCAAATTCCGCCAGACCTTGGACAAGACGGAAAAAGGTGTTTACGAAATATACCAGGAGTTCGAGCGGAGGTTTCCCGATAAGCGAACTGCTTATTTATTGACCGCTGATCATGGAATGACCGACTCGGGTACGCCATTAAATTATAGACCCGCAAAATTGCTTCCTAACATGTTTTTTTTTTTTATAGGTGCCCACGGTGCTGGTTCGCCCCATGAAACGGACACCCCATTTGTGCTGTGGGGTGCCGGTGTATCGCGGACGGTTCCCAATCCTGGAGGGCGGACATTTATGCCGAACAATGAAGGTCCTGCAATGCCAATGCACGAACTGGAGCAAGCCCAGCTTACACCCCTGATGGCCGCCTTGTTGGGTCTCGCACCTCCCATGAACAACTTTGGGAAGTTGCCCGTGGGTTACATGAATGTCAGCACGGAATACGAGGCAATGGCTGCCCATGTAAATGCTCTGCAGCTCCTGGAGCAGTATGTGGCCTTGCAGAAGCAGCATAAAAAGGGATTTTTCGCAGATATTTTACTCGAGTTTGATGTCCTAACCACCGAAGCAATCAAAGGATACAAGGATACAATCCTACAGCTTCAAAAGAACCGGGAGTACTCACTTTGTATAGTCAAGAGCCAAGATATCATGACGCAAGCCCTTGAGGGCATCGATTACTACCACGGATACTACCGCAGAGTGCTTCTACTGAGCACCACTTCCACTTTCCTGGGATGGATGTTCTACATCTACCGCCTCCTGTCTAGAAACAGGGCGAGTAAAGTGGAGTTGATCCTTGAAAGGAGTAACAAAATAATCAGAGTAAGCATAGGAAGTTCTTTGATCGTCCTCGTTATTTGTTTGCTGAGCCAACGAACACCGCTGGATATATCATTTTATATGCTGCTTCCAAATATCGTTTGGCTTAAGGCATTGCAACCCTGGACCATCAACTTCTCTTCATCCCCAGCTTCAGCGTATAGTGTGCCGGCCCTGCAGACCTCAATGGGGCAGCTTATATTACTCATTGCTTGCGCGGAGCTAATGGTCTTTACCTTCTTCGAGCGCCGCCTGATCGCGCTGTGCTACTTCGTCTTTGCCTGCTACAATAGCTGGGGAAACTTTCAAATGAAATCCAGGGATTTCTTCTTCTGGCTGGCATTGGTCCTGATGCTGACGTGCTTTCCGCTGCTGCCGCTGTCTGTGGGCTACCAGAATGGATACCTGCTTGGAGCTGGAGTTGTAGTAATTCTTACGAACTCATTTTGGAATTCAAAGTCGAGATTAAGCTACAGCAAGCACACAAAGTTCAGCAATGTCCTGATACTGCTGCAAACCATGTTGTGTGCGTATCTGCACTCAAACGGCATTTATATTCCAGTTCCACTGAAATTGGCTAGCTGGTTGTACCTGATATACGCCTTCGCATCCATAGTGCTGAGCAGAGAGCCAAGATTGGATCTGCGTCTCGCTCAGATTGGCTTTAATTTGGGATCTCTGTACGCCACACTATGTACCTCCTATGAGGCTGTGTTTGTCCAGTTCCTGACCATAGAACTGAACTTCTCGTTGAGGGCTCAAAGTGCGCGGGCAGAGAGGTCAGTGCTCCGACTGGCATTCACCCTGCTCTTGTACACCTTCTTTTCGCTCTTCGGATCCGGAAACATAGCGTCGATCAGCTCCTTTGATCCGAACATAGCTCGCTGCTACCTCAGCCACTTTGCCCCCTTTGTGATCATGGCTCTGGTGCTACTGAAACTCCTTGTGCCTGTGGTGCTGATCATGTCGGTGGTTTATGCCCAGAGCGAATTTGTGCGCCAGCACGAGGAGCAGATCTTTATATGCCTGCTGCTCATTTGCGATGTAATGGGCCTGAACTTCCTGTTCCTGGTGCGCAACCAGGGCTCCTGGCTGGACATTGGTTCCTCCATATCCCACTTCGTTATCATGGAGGTCACCACGCTGGTAATCCTGCTGCTCTTCTATGCCGCAAAGCAGTTGCTGCGAGTGATTCCTTGGGAGGAAATAGACTTCAAAAGGTTGCCATTGCGTTTAATCCACTGGGATGTGATCAGCGCCAAGCATCACTAGTCATCTGACCGATTTGACAAAACTTCTAGCTAAGCTTAAACATTTATGTTCGATAATATTTACAACACTAAGAATTAGTAACATACACATGTAAATTATAGAATCTAACGCTAGGAATGTGTCTGTGTGTAGGTGAGGGTCCGGGTGGATCGATTTCATGGACAACCCAATCTGAGCTTAGAAAGAAGACGAATAATTATTTGTAAACATGACAATTCTTTACTGATTCTGTACCTTTCTGAAGCATTTAAAAATGTATTAGAAACTTCAGTATTGTTACTATTTTAAAGATAAATAAATTAAGAATTTCAGAACATTTTTGTTAAAAAAAAAATTGTAAACTGATTATATTTCAGAATTCTAATAGATCTTCATTAACATCAAAAATAGAAATTATATTTCTTTAAAAAAAAGCTAAGCAAGTGTTTATTTTGAGGATTACTCCAAAAAATCGACCCACCCAATTGTGGATGGTGTTGTGTAGGATGTGCTTTCGTGTGGTTTCGTGTGTGGCATGGCACGACGACATATAATGAGTTGTAGAAGCTGCAGCACGGCTATAGAAACGCATTTCCCGATTAGTCTTTCAGATACCGCTCCACCGGATTCACACCTTGAAATTTTGGGCTGGCGGTCTCATCTGAAATGTATCTTGGATTAGCATTAAGCTGGCCACTTCTAGAACGCAGAACCCACTTGACTGTGCCGGCTTGGCCGTGGTGGCACTTTCGCGCGGAGTTGCTTGCAGGCAGTTGAGCCACTCGGCCAGCGAGATCTTTTTGTCTCCATTGACGTCGCAGTAACGCGGCATCTTCTTGCCACATCTGCGCAGGTTGCTGTTGGATAGGTTAGAGTTCAGAGGCCAATAAGGATGGGCTGTGGTGTGGTGGCTCACCTGGCGCTGGTAACCAGATCGCGAAAGTTCTTCCACTCTCGGCGATCCCACGACTTATTCTTGTTCTTGTCGAGATACACAAAGCTCAGCGTGGCGATTCGCTCATCGTCTGTCTTCCACATGGTGGAGTTCGTACTGCAAAATAGAGCACATATTGGAATAATAATAATTTATAGAAAATATTAAAAAAAAACTGCTCCCTTGAAGTTTTGATATTCCCAGTACATTACATTAATATTGCAAGAAGATCTAAGATTACCCGGTAGTGCTGCTGGGCAGAAGAGAGGTGTTGAGGTAGGCCTTCAGCTCCTTGAGGAACTGCGTCTTGCGCGGCTCGGTGCATCCCTTCATGGGTCGCACGGCCGCACTCTCGTCGCACTGAGGCCGCTTGTCCTTCACCGATGTGCCCGGTATGGTCTTTCCCGTGTCCTCGTTGACGCACCAGCAGTACGAAGTGGACGTGGAGGAGTAGCACTGAATGCGCTGATAGCGACCATCCGGAAGGCACTGCGGCACAAATAGGACGTTCTTTTCGCCATGCTATGGGATGGGGTAACAACGTTTATACACAGGTTTCCTTTGGGGAAGGCATTCGATACTTACGCCCTGCTCCTCCATCGTGACCGACTGGTCCATCCAGCAGTTGGAGTCATTCTCCAAGTCCTGGCTCGCCGTCTCCGGCTTTGAGTTGAGCACTGAAATGAGTAACGCATTAACAAACATTGTGTTCTGCCATTTGGATGGATGCAGAATGATTACGAACGCAGAAATGAAATTATATGAAATCATGGAAATCGCATCCCTTTGCATGCCAACTTAATGATTAAATAATTTATATAAAATTTTAATTTTAATATACTGATTCTAGTTTATACCAATGCACTTTGAATTCGGTTAGTAACACAATTCTACGTACTATATAATGATGGGATATGCGTTCGTGAACTGGGCAGGTCTGCTCCTTGCGAGTCGTCCTCTTCACCTCCGTAGCCCGTTGCACTGTCCTCGTAGTTGTCCTCGTGCTCCTCACTGCCACTCGCATCCTCGGCATACGAGTGCGGATTACTGCCAATACCAATGGTGTTGGTATGACCACGGTGGCCATTGACGTTGGTGTTGTGGATGTTATAGTGGGTGAAGTGTGGTGGGGAGGTGGCTGCACTGCTCGCCAGAAGATTTAGGACAGCACTACCTGGATTTAGATGACACACAGATGAGAGATGATTTTAGGAAAAATGGATCATGCCTGCTGCATTAACCGTGCCTTGAACTCCTTGATGGGTTTTCTAATGATTTTGAGACTCACATGAACTCTAACGAATTAAGTATTTTCAATGAAATGCGGCTAAATTGTAATTTAACATTTGGAAATTCAACTTAGAATATAATTTGTTTGTGCGTTAGGAAATTATTTATGAATTGTAAAGGTTCGGATACTGCAAATTTAAGTTCACAACGTGCTGCTACAAAAACCTGTTCTATAAAACCCAGCTTTTACTCACGGTTGTGAAACTCCTTGGTGAAGCAGACGCTCCATTCCAGCCAATTGAGGTTGGCATCCTTGATGACATCACAGTATTTGCCAAAGGTCCGTCCACATCGACGAGGTTTAACTTTCTAATTCAAATCAATAATGTGGAACACAGTTTTCCGGTGTAAGAACTGCAGTTACTTACCCGCCTGAGGACCTTTTTCAGCTCCCTAATCTCCTGGCGATCGAGCAACTTGTTACCATTCGTGTCCAGCTTGGAGAACTGCCACTCCAGGATGTAGGAGTCCGAGAGAGCTGGCTGGCGGAAGTAGCTCTCAGCCTCGTTCCGGAACATGCTCATCAGATTGGTGTTGAACAGCGACCGATCGGACTTGCTGCAGGTGCGGTGGGCTGCGGAACCTGTCTCCGAACTGCCCTTGGACGCTGAGGTATCCGGATTATAGCCAATCTGATGCGATGCCAGGCGGCGTCGGTCACGTCGATTGGCCCTGCAGCGCAGTTTTCCCTTCCGCCGAAATTGCTTGCTATCATCCTCGATGGGTCTGCCCTGGCTATCGCTGCACCAGCATCCGTTGTTCCCGTAGCACTGCATCGCCGCAAAGTTGCCATCCTTCCGGCATCTGGGCACAAAGTATCCGGGATCTCGGTCCTGCTGACGACGGGCAAATTTCACCGCCTCCAAGCAGGCTAAAATGATAGCACGTGTTTTATGAAAATGGTACATTTCATGGAAAGCTTCATAAATGTCGCAACGTAACAACAAACTTTAACTATATTAGGATTAAGATTAAGATTACTTCCAGGTTGCTTAAAAAGCAAACGTAATGAACCGCAACAGTTCGAAGTAAAGAGCTAATAGCAAACATATCAGTATATCATTATCATTATCAACAAAGCAATTAAATATCCGTAGAGCAGTTCAGGGCTACATCCGCCTACTTATAAATGAAGTAAGGTGTGTGATACATTGACACTTACCATTGCAGGAGCCGCTGTACTTGAGGCTCACCTGGTGGCCACCGCACTGCGCCCGCAGCAGATGACACCTGGTGGGATAGGTTTGGCCATCGGTGCCGCAGACGGGACCCTCGTTATCATCGCACTCGCCCTGTTTGGCGGCGCAGGCGGGGAGCTTCATCTGCGGGTAGAGATCAAGGGGGAAGAAGGTGGTGGTGTCAGTGCAAGTCTCGGCTGTATGGTAGCTCCAGGGTGGGGGAGTGGGTGGGGTGCTCCTACCGCTCCCCCTTGGGCAAATACGCGTAAAATGATTTACTGCACTTATGGCCAAGTCTGCGAGTCGCCAAGCGTCTGGGCCTGTGCCGCTGACTGGAATACGAATGTGGGGCCCAATGGTCGGCAGTGGCGGCCGCAGTGGTGAGTACAGAATGGGGTTTTGGGGGGGTGGGCTACCTGCGAGCCGGCTAATGTGAAAATCAAAGTTGTCAGGCCCATAACTCGAATGCCCCGAAATCCGCAGCAAAATTATGGCTGCCTGCTGCTCTCGACCAACTTTGCTGCTGAGCGAACAAAATTCTTGTTTAGCCCACAAAATCGCATACGAGTATATGCAAATATCTGTATCTTTCTATCTTTATACACATATACTGAGATGGGGAGGCCCAGCACTTTGGGATTTGCCAGTGCAGCACCTTTGTCGCCAATTTGCTGCGGCCGACCCACGGATATGGATTTGTCGTGTCACTCGGACATTAATTAGATTTCGCTGTTATTGAATAGGGAAATGCGTCAGCCATCTGAATCCATAACTGAAACATGTTTGGGATAAGATATGAGCACACTACTTGAGGTGCTAATGGTAGTTTTACCATTTCTGTTTCATTTTGTATGTTTTCAATGAAAAAACCACAAAGCCCATATACCCATAAAATGTCATGTGGAGTTTAGTTTCTGAATATCGCATAAAAACTATAAGCAGCGCTACATTGGAGAGGGAGAAACAAGCTGATGCACAAAAAGGGATTATGGCTATCAACTTTTTATAATCCAGCTTAGTAATTCAATGCGCTTATGTTGACACCCAACAAAAAGCAATATGCACCCGAAGATACTAAACACCAGAAGCTCGGCCAGAAATGTTATACAATTATGAGAAGCACAAATGCTACCTGTCCCAGTGTTATCTTGTTGCCCCAACATATAGGTGTACAAATAATGTAGAATGTCTGTAAACAATTCGAATTCTTTTTGTGGGCAGCGAAGCACGCGCTGCTTGGAAATCGGAGTGCGCAGGTGATTTTCGACTCCCAGATATCGGACAGAAGTACATACATATATAGCCAGAACATACATATGTACATTGCTGCAATGAGCAGATCGGATGGCTGTTCTCAGAAGTGGGCAGTGGGCAGTGGGCAGTGGGGCATCTGGTTAAAAGTTGAACATGAATACCCCATTAGCTAATTATCGATTTCGGACATTGGGGCGCAGATACCTATACATCTTATAAAGTTCCATACAATGGTAGTACACAGAAAAATGTGTTAAGTGTTTAGTAATAATAATACGCAGTTTGCGAGCACAACCCCCTTAAATTTCATGTTTGCAATGCCCCTGTGCTGGGGAATGTCTGATTGGGAATGCAAATGACAGTTGGGCTTGTGATTATCTAAGTTTTAAATAGGGCGTTATCCCGAAAACGTGCCTGGATTGATAATTCCCACCTGGAGCACCCTGTTGCCGCCCCTCTCCCCCACCCCCCTCCACATGCGCTCACCCTCTTAGCCACAAATTATAAACTGAGACAGCTCAAGGATTGTTACCAAGATAACGACAAAATCATTGACTGACAGTTCTCACGCTCGCAGAACGAGGAGGCGAAGGGGAGGCTGCGATGGGCGGAGAAGAATCAGAAGAACAAGCTCCACACTTTAAATACTTCTTCACACTTTGTCATCATCAGCCAGCTTAGAGACATTGGCAAAATGACTAAAAAGAACACAAGGTATTTAAATAAGGATTGCTCGCCTTTCAGTTCGAATATGGAATACACTTCACATGAATGCCTGAAACGCGAATTCTTCAGTTCAATAGTGCCTGTTCCTACGGCAGCAAGTAAAGAAAACTAAAAAGGCAACTCCTCTTGGTAAATGAAACGCCAATTCTTACGCTTTTTACACAACCAACCAATTGTAAAATGATGAACTCATTTCAAAGGGTATAGAAACAAGGAGGAGCAAAGGAGCAGCAAAAGAATCGCTTTTGACTTGTGACCGTTTTGTGTTCTCCTTTTTGCAGCTCCTCGTGCCCTTCTTCTTCTTTTCTGCAGGAACAAGAAACACGTTCGTTCGTCGGTCAGATGAAACAAAAACAAAAATCAAGGTGTGGAATTGAAGACAGGCCAAGAGGAGGCGATCAGAGGAGAAGAGAAGAGGTGAGGTGTGAAGAGGAGGGGGCGAGAAGAACGGAGCCGGCAGACTCTCTTTTTCGGAGTTTGGCAGACAGCGCGGCGGCGAACAAGCTGGAGAAAGACAAGGAGAAGGAGAAGCAGAAGGAGAAGAAGAACGGCCGCAGCTTCTTTGTTGGCTGACTCTTGGTACCTTTGGTACCTTTGATACCTGGAATATTGGAGTGTTTTCTCGGGATTTACAAAGTGATCACTTGCAGCCTGGCCAGAAAGTTTGGCAGGCTTCGCCTACAAGCACTTATACAAATGTTTGCCGTCCTCAAAATATCACTTTGTTACGTACAAGATACATCTAAAGGGTTCTGAGAGGTGAGAACTGAAAACCTCTAGAAAGTAAAAATCTATTGTATCCGAAATTTTAAATAGAAGTTTTTACAGACAATAGATTAACTATGTATATAAATTCAGCATTGCTCAAAGACACATATTACGCCAAATGATTAACCCAATTTAATTTGCTTCGTTCTGTGAATATTTTTGTAACAGTTTTTGAAAGTAAACTTACCAACTGATCGTCACTTTTTCCAGTCGCTATGAAAACCGCCAGCCAAGTGACGAACAAAACACACCTCGCCAACATTTCACTTAGCAATTCGAATTCGTCAATTAACTGTTACTGTGCTAACGGGATTGGTTTGGTACGCGTGTTTATTGCATCAAGTACGTTTCATTCATTATAATCAACTTGTCGCTTGTCGTTTATTTCACCATCTTTTTCGCAAAGTCGCAATTAGATTTTCTTCATAGAACTTTTACTTTGCCGCTCTCCGAGTTATTTATTTACCGATTTCCGTGGGCTATTTATAGTGGGAGAGGTGTGTGCGTGTGCATTAAGGTGTTGTGGATCTTCTGTTTATATAATGCGTCTTGATGTGTGCGATTTTTGGCTCGTTTCGATTGGAAAACCGTCCGAAAACGTTCAGGAAGCGAGGAGCGAGGAGCACGGATCACGGATCACTGATCTGCAGAGCGCACTTCAATAGGCAACCGATCGCAGCCCAGTTCCACACACGACTGGCCATTTGCCTTGGAGTGGAGTGGCCCAAAACCCAAGAGAGTGGGCGAAGAATCGGATTCGGATTCGTATTCGGAATCGGAATCGGAATCGGAATCGAGCTGAGAGATTGGAGGAGAGAGCGGGACACCGCCGCCGCCAGAGTGTCTGGCGTGTCGCATCCAATATCTTATCTTTGCCACTCCGACTGGACGGACAGCACAGTGGAGCCCCTCTCAGTTGAACCATGAGCGAGCTATATCGGAGGAATGGAAGTGATTCCATTTCTGGCAATGTAGTTCTAAATGTGTGTTTGAACGCCTATTTAACTATAACTACAATTTTATCAGTGCAGCAAAAACGGCAGAGGAGTCAGCATAACGCGAATTCTTTAGTGTCCGCAGCTATGAAATTAGGCTAATAATCGGACCACTGCCGTCCGGTTTTATCTACGATTTTATCTATATAACATTTTCGATTTTATTATATATGTAAGTAGCAAGAGCAAGAACAGAGTGCTTTATGTATTCATTTATAAGTTAGGGATGTTCCACTGTAGCAGCATAAAAACGATCACATTCACACACCGGCAGACGACGGAGAGAGCACTTGTGTATGCGTGTGAAATTTATCTTTCTTTGTGCATCTCAAGAGGTTGCCTCACCAACAAAAGCCACAAAAGCAACAAAAACCCTCTAAAACAAAGCGGCCAACAGTTGCACCAGCTGCTCAGCCAGCGGGGGAGGGGCAAGCGGCACAGGGGCGTCGGGTCGTCGGGGTAGGGGTAGGCGGTCAGGGGAAAACGTGAGCCGTCGAGGGCCCCGCTCCTGTGATTTATAGAGCCGCTGGCCAAGGAGTTCGCCTGGAGAGGATTTTAAGACGGAGAATGGCGGAGACGAAGTGGAGTTGCCGGTCTCCGTCTTCGACTCGGTGTGAAACCTGCCAGACAGTCTGACGGCGGCGATAACTGCCCCCTTGCCCCCTCCTGCCCCATACTTGATATACATACCCCAATCCCCCGAACACCCGAACCTGCCACCACTCTGTTTTCGACTGTGCCACACTCCGTTTTGTGGTCTTCTTCGATGATCGGGCGTGCACTGCGGGAAATATACCTGTAAGTAATGCGATTTTATACCTTCATCAAGTATCAAGTACAATATCACTGGACGAATGCAGTTCATATGGACTGTAGGAAGTTTCTAGTTTCGCTCATAACCCACTTACATTGCAAACATTCGGAACTTACATATTTATAAGCTTAAAGTTGGAACATCTAAACACCCTTAGACAGGTCAAACAAAATCTGATTCCATTCATTACTTTGTATCGACATGGAAGATAACAAGCAAAGAATTTCGGTATTTTCTCGTCGTGTGAAGATGGGTAAGCGAACAACACTGTAGACTGCGGAAGGTTGCAGGGGCGGGGTAAGAACTCAAGTGGAGTGGACTGGCAGACAGTATGACGCCAAAATGCAAGACAAGACAACCTGGTCGATAACAAAGGTAAACAGGCAACGGCCAGCCAAGGAGCAGGGCAACTGAAAAAGCCTCGGTCGTGGGATTCGATCGGGATTGTCGGCTCAGCGCGACCGGGTTCAGAACCAGATGCAGATACAGATATAGATACACGTACGCGCAGATACGGATTACAGATACAAGTACAACCGCCCCTGCCGCTGGTTGTGTCCAACTAATCATTGTGTGATTCTGTTTGTTTATTTGCCCGGCTTTATGAAGAGACTTTTCGGTAGAAATTATTTATTGTCGCATGCGTTTATGTATCTGCGTATCCGTATCCCAGTATCTCAGTATCTTGGGGCAACTGTGTATCTGTGAGCATAGCCCTTAAAGTGGCACCCAATCAGCCAGTTAGCTAGAAATCAAGACGATTAAAGATGGATTCTTCTAGATCAGCAAATTTCAACAGTTCGGAATAACAAAATCGGAATTTGGTGCTTCTTAAGCTTTTATCGACTATGCAAAACTACAAAAGTATATAGGTCCTGCATATCTACATCGTGTATTTATAAATAACAGATTATGTCCCAAGTAAATTTGTTTCCAAATTTGAAGTGGTTAATTTTGTTGATGTTGCTTTCTACAATAAACTTGACTTGTTAAACAGACTCTATTGCTTAAAATTTAAGGGCAGCTTAGATGCCTACAAATGCAAATGAGTTACTGCAGAAACGAGCTCTGCCTGCAGAACTACACTCTTATCTGTAAAATATTGTCAATATTTCACATGAAATAATAATCTGGAAAACCGTTTCTCCCATTGTCAGCGAGCTAAAAAATTAAAAACCCCCGAGACGTGTCTTCCTGCACAGCAAATGATTCAATGGAGAGGTAAGTCACCGAGTGGGAGTCCCTGAGCGAATCGATCCCAGCCCGCCGCCATGCTATATAAGCTCGGTGAAACCACGATCTGGCACAACAGTATCCCTGCTATCATCCAACATGAAGTTCTTCGCTTTCGTGGCCATCGCTATTGCTCTGCTTGCTTGCGTGGTGCAGGCTCAACCCGTTTCCGATGTGGATCCGACTCCGGAGGATCACCCACTGGTGCATGAGGCTGCCCACCAGGAGGTGGTGCAGCACAGCCGCCAGAAACGGGCCACCTGCGACCTACTCTCCAAGTGGAACTGGAACCACACCGCCTGCGCCGGCCACTGTATTGCCAAGGGTTTCAAAGGCGGTTACTGCAACGACAAGGCCGTCTGTGTTTGCCGCAATTGATTTGGCTGAGCTCTGTACTCCACAGACTTTTGACTCTTAAATGTGTCACAATTGAAACAGTTTCTGTTAATATATTCAATAAATAAATATTTTCGAAATGCTAACGAATTGGGAACACCTATAGTAAATACCAATACCTATAGTAAATAAAGATAATCGAACATTTTCAAAATGAAAGTCGTTTTTTATGCATACATATACATATCACTTATCGAATCTTTTGCACTTTTGTTATTGTGCATTCTCTATTTTTTAAATTTCCACTCTCAAAGGAAAAATAGTGGTTTCATTATATGATAAAATTCGGAATTGAGTAGTTTCAATTGGATTAAGATTGTTAACAGAGCTTTGAGTCTAGAACGAACAATGTCATATAACGACTTAATTTGTCAGTGTCTAGCTGTGCAATAAACGGAACTGCTTTCGCAAATGTTTTATTCCGCATAACTTTGAAATAAACAATATTATTTTCCGTTCTTACAACAAAAATACTCATTATCATAAGCCGGCAGCGTTTCGATTTACTATATAAGACGACTGAAACCTAAACGAACCAGAGCAGTTCTCAACTAGAGATCCCACCATGAAGATCACGACTATTCTGGCTCTAATTCTAGCTACAATTTGCGTAGTACAATCTATTCCGGAGGATCCCGATAAAGGTCTTCTGCAAAAGGAGCTTCAGGGGAATCTTATCCAGGATTCGGAGGAACACGTCCGCCCAAAGCGGCAGTCCTGCGCTGAGCGGTGCAATTCCCTCTGTTTGAAAAAGGGCTTAAAAGGTGTTTGTGTGAAAGATTTGTGCCGATGTGCTTAATTATGATTTAAATGAAAAAATCCACATAAAATCTTTGTGTTTTCTATTCGAGATTGCGGTACTTGACAAACTCATTCATAGCCGAAATGAATGATTGGTTATCTCCTGGCGCGAGTGCGACTTTCAGTTTGGCGGGGTCAACAAATTGAACCTGCGCTAAAAGGTATAGCAACAATTTGCATTGCACTTCCGTTCTTCTGCGGCTTTGCCCCATAAATATGGCAAGTCGACTACAATTCGTTCTTATCAATTAACCGAGCAAACAGTCGCCAAGAAATGATCAACACTGCAAGCGAGGGAAAAAGGGAAGAGAAACACGCGCCGAGAGGGAAACACGACACTTAATTAACGCCAATTATAATGGTTAATAAGAGTATGTAGAAATCGAGCAACGCGGCCGACTTGTGGGTTTCTTTTAATTTACAAACGCTTTGCCGGTTAATTACGCGACTACCTCGTCCTCGTATGTCAATCCGAAAACAGAGCAACCACTCGCGAGCGATTCCCCATTTGCACTGACTCTTCAGTTATCGCCTCACTATATAGTCCCAAGACGGTAAATGTACATAAGTTCTCGATCGAGAGCTAAGAGAATGCGAGAACAGCGTTGTATGTAATGCAGCTCTCCCTCAAAAATAAACAATTCAACGTGCATCTTGCTGCGAATAGGATTTGAATTACGCGCGCACTTAGCTATCGATATATTTGCTTGTTTAAAAACATCACGATCTACAGGTACTGAGAATATACTAAATATGTAAAAGGAAATGGAAATCATAAGTAAAAGACAAAATTCAAAATATGATCGTTTCCATAGTCGATTTCTTGAGGCCTAGAACATATTTAAACATTTATTCGAAGTTTTCTGTGATCAGTAACTGAAATCCGAAGATATGGTAACCTTAAAAATATTTTATAGCCGAAACTGGCTTTAGCTAGAGCAGTTCTATCGATAGCCGGGTATTATCAATAAGGTTTCTTTAAAACATTTACCACAATTATTGTGAACGCTGACCCAGGCACACTGACATCGTCCCCCGTCCCTTTAATCTTGGGCATAAATTAAGTAGAATTCTTCACTTATCGCTGGAGAGCATCTAGAACCACGTAGCTCTTTAGTCATCGTAAATACAGCACACGTCTTTATCAACGCCGCACTTTCAAAAGGAAGGCGCTGCTGCTGACGTGGTTAATGCAATTAGTTTCCACGCGTTAAGCTATCAAACAATCAATTAAGAATATGCTAACGAAGGCTCTAATTCTGTTCGGCCTACTGGCCTTGGCCCAAGCCTACAGCTTCACCTCCCGCGAGGTCAAGTGTCATGGTAAGAAGAACGCACACATAAGTCAGCAACAGGCGGCTATGCACTTGTTGGCCCTGGGAGTCCGGATAATTGAAAGTTCCATGAATTACAGTGTGCAAGGCCGTGGTTACGGAGCTGGAGGAGGCCATTGCCAAGGAGGACCCCCACAAGATGGCCGATGTCAGTGGATTCCGGCTGGATGCACAGGGAAATTCGATCAGCAAGAAAGTTCGCCTTGTAAAATCTGAGATGTTCCTTACCGAATTGATGGAGAAGATCTGTAAGTAATTACTAACATTTTGAATGCAATAGCATAGAGAAATTTAATTACTTGCCGCTCGTCAGAATTAAGACATTTATTTATGGTGTTCTACTAATATTTCCCCACTCTAAAAGGTGAGAAAATGGACGACTACTTGAAAGCAACCTACAAGAGCAACGGGAAATTCACACTCCTGAAGATGATCATCAACGGACAGATGAACCCCGACTCCTCGTTGGTTGACTTTGTGCAAGATGGTGATCTCAACAAGAGCCTGGGTCACTTCTGCAACGAAGTCCTGGAGGACAACGACGAGATCTTTGTTAAAGCCTTCCAGGCTGAAGAGATCGGCGACGATTTGGATATCCAGATCTGCTCGCAACAAGCAAGATACTGCGACGAATCGCCCGTCCAGGAGGAGTACGACTTTGATGGCAAAGAGGAGCTGTAGCTGGTCCCAGTGAAAGTTTAGATATTTAACGAATTTTCTTGATCGCCGCCAGTGGTGGTCTTTGTACTGATATTTCGAACGAAAATTATGTTTAGCTAATGTAAAAGAAACCCATGCCAACTGTTACAAAGTATGTACGACAATAAATTCCATGTGCAATGTATTTTATTAATTTATTAACGAGTGTTCTATGTCAGATTCTTTGAGATTATTACTCCTTGCTGTAAAGCCAACATTTATAATGATACGATATTATTGGGTTACTGAGAGTACTTACGGATCCTCGGTTACATTGCGAAGCATCTGGTGACGAATCACTAGGAACGGAGCCCCAAAGCCCACGATTCCCGCAATTAGGTAAAATAGCGTGAAGCGCATCGGACTATCCAAGCCAAAGGGTAAATTCTGTGAAGGAAATTTTAAGTTTTTAGAACGCTGTACTCCGTCTCGACCTTGGGTTAACTACCACTCCAGGACTACCGCCTGAATATCCACTTCCATGACGCTTCAGCGGCCCGGCAAAATTGCCAATGGATTTACGAAGTGTGGGCCACATGAGTAAATTTTAATCCGTTTGTTGAGACGGGAATATGAAAATATTTGATTACTTGCAAGTGAGATGTTACTCCCAGACTTCTAGCGATTGAATGGAATTACTGGGTTTTGGAAAAATTGCCTGTCATTTCTCTAAAGGTAAGCCTACTAATAGTATCCCCTGTTTTCCCTGAAGAAATGACACCAATACTACAGTATTCAATTTAAAAAACTTTTTGCCTGTACGCACTTGCAGTTGGCAACCCTATTTTCACTTTTTTAAATATTATTTATAAGTGTACATTGGAATGATGTCAGACATTCTACATTCTAATTTTTGGTAATAAAATTGTCACGTTAACAATGAAATTAAAACTATGGATAGGAAATGGTATATTTTGCGAACCATACATGTAAATGTATGGATATGGTTTAGAAAGCTAATATTTAATTTAGTCACAAGGTATTCAGACTAACTGCTATACAAATGGATGCATTTAAGGAAGGAATGCCTTAAGGAATACCAAACGGCTGTTGCGTGAACTGTCTTTCCAGCTTTTAAAGAAAACATCCATCAATCGGTTCTACGGTTACGGGTAACTTTATTTCGTTTCCACTTTTTACTTAAATTTAAGCTGTAACACACTGTAATGGCCTACCGGCCAACTCACAAGATATCGCTACATCTGAAAAGTGCAAGTTTTATTTAAATGCAAACCAAATTTAACCAATAAACTAACCTTACATTTGTTGTTGCTGTCGCCAGGGGAGCACCTTACTTCTTGAGCAGCTGGTGCCTGACGATCAGGAAGGGCGATCCGAAGCCCAAGACACAGCCGATGGTGAACAGGGCGGTGATCCTGTACTTGTTCGTCAGTCCAAAGGGAAGATTCTGCAGGAAAATGGAATGTTTTCCGGTGTTAGAATTGATTTTCCTTCCAGTCCTATGCGGTCGTGAAAATTATGTAACCCGTAGGGGCCTATTTTTTAACACTCACCTGGCCGGGAACTCCACCATGTCCGCTAAGGCGAACCATCGACTGGGAAAAGTTGCGTGCAATCACACTGCTGCGGCCCAACATTTTGCAATTTGACTTATTTAATAATAATTCCAGAAAAATAAAGTTCGCAGTGGGTGCGCAGAATAGAGATGACAGATGTTCGATAGCTGGTTTGCAGTGCTGCTTATAACGTTCGTTAACAGTTATGTCATTCTGTTAACATTACCTATCGGACATCATCAAAATTCAACTAATGGGAACCGCGTATGTACAACATGCATACTTCTCCAATCACCACTTGGGTACCCAGATGCAGTCCAGACCTATTTTCAAAAAACTCAATCCAAATCGCAAAACTTTTACAAACACAAACTGAAATACCCAAACACAAATGTTTCGTTTTCGAATTAGAGTTGGCGGAATTAGAGTCGCGGTGCAAGTTCCTGATGCGGCTAGCTAATTTTTTTAACTTACACCGCATATAAAATTAGTACAAATAAAAAAGCTTTAATTTTTAGGGATCAAGAGTTATGTTTCTAAATTGTTTATGTATATTTCTAACTCTGGTAAATATAAACGACGAAAATGTTTCCAATTTCTACGCCTTATATGTATATTCCCACATAATTGGCTACTCTACACAAATTGTACATTTAGAATAACGAGCGAGTATGCTGGATTGGGGGTATTCGAATTCTGTTGTCAGGAACTTAACAGACACACTCAGCGCCTTGGTATCGGAGTATATTGTCAAAAAGTATCGGCTGACAGAGCCATCGCTGGCCTCACAGAACACGACCGCCCATCTCTATTGCGTTTCGAATATTTCATTTATAGGCACGGGCACGGTAGACTCGATACGAACAGGCAAAAGTTCAAAATTATTCCTCAAAATTATAAGTAAACGCCCCGCGCGCATCCCTCCGCCCAATTTGGGGAGCTCGTTATTTCGGTGGTTCCCGGATATACCGGAAAAGGGTCTGTTAATCGCGAAGTTTTCCCCATGAAGCGCTGAATCAGAACGACCGACAGCAGCAACAACGCAACAGAAACGAGCGGATAAAGAAAACACAGCAAAATGATAGAACCGCCGAAATTCATCGAGAATGATTGCTACAACGGCAGCCGGACCTTCACTTGGCTGGCAGATATGGTGGGCCTCTCCGTGGACCTCGTAAGTAACATTATTTCCTCCAAACCTTAAATTCCTGACGCTTCAGACCCCCTCTTTCCGCTGCCGTTATCTTTCTAAACGGGCGTGTGCACGTGTGCGTGTGTATACGCCTGTTTGTGTCCCAATCATACGGGATAAAAGCCGCTGTGCAAATCTCGTTCTCTCTGCGTGAAAACAATGCACTTCTTGAAGGACACTGGGATTTTCTTCCGCGGGAAAGGCATATGTATATTTCTGGGAAATATGCAAAAATTACCTGCCAGCGGGAGGTAAATAAATGCCATGCCGGTTGCCCAAAAAAATATTTTGTGTACAGTAAGCAATCCATGTATTGAACCATCTAACAACTATCTAAGGATACATCTTATATATTATAATATCTGCAGTGGAAATATTTAAGCAATTCATGCCAAAACAAACTTTAAGCATTCACATGTAATGAATTAGTTTAAGTTGTTTACGTTAATGATTGCACACTGTATTTGGGCTTTTAAACCCTTTGATATACTTGGCGGCTAATCGCACTTGGCAATTGCCTTATATTTTACCCATTTTGTAGTTTTTCTAATTTAATTTGGACAACTAGAATTATGCGAAGAGCTTATCTGTTGTCTAGAATTATCTACCAGTGGAATTTTCCAGCCCACAAACGGTCTAGCGTGAAATTTTGAAACTACTATTGTTGCGATTGACGCACCGTTGATTTCGCTAAATTTAAAATGCTTTGCATCACTTAATAGTGCGGTTGGTACCTGGGGAGGGGGCAGTGATTAATCTCTTTGCAGAGAGTGTCGCACAGGCACACTTACTTCCTCGCTCTCCTAACCCCCTTTTGATGACCCATTCGTGTGGCGCAATGTAATTTGTATAACTGCAGTTGGCATATAGAAATGTGATTCATAGCCAGGCATTTTCTGGCCCAAATCAACCGACATACACGTACGTAATCGTCATATTTTTCAATTCCGATGACCTAATGCAAACTTGCGATGTAAGAAGAGCACACTGATGGGGAAAATCAGTTTTAGTCTCTATCAATAGCCGCGCTGAATCCAATTTAACTTGGCTCAAACTACGAACCTCTCCATCCCAGATAATTGAATTTTTAGCGCTTCTTTTGTTTGCAAACAAATATCAACAGCTTGTCGGTGTGTTGGTTAGCGAATTTCTTGTTATTTCCACTCAGCTGATGTAGACCGTATGAGTCAGCCGGTCTTTCGAGCAAAAAACAAGTGAACGCAGCAAAACAGTGGTACTTCAAGAGGATATTGCAATAAAAACCAAATTCACTAAATTATTATATTCAATTTCTATTATCGACTATTAATATAAGTTTGCCTAAAATGAGAATATGAAAAAGGAGATTTAAATACAAACGTTCACCTGTTACAGAAATGACTGTATCTCGTAATGGGGTTTTGTGGGGGCGGGCGACACTTTTTTAAAAATCGCTTCGCCTGATATTTGATTTGTTTGTTGCTCTTTATTGCGCTAATTCGGATCGAAGGTCGCAGCACGCAACTGCGCAAATGTCGGTGAATTGGCCAATTGTTCCGTGGAATCGCATACATATCCATATAGTACATGGATAGTAAAAAGATGTGCTCAATAGCAACGTGCGAGGCCTTTATGGCCAAAGATGCATTCCCGGCCGGTCAGTCGCGGGTTATTCTCAACAGTTTGTTCTGCCTTCCTCCCGCAATCTTGAGTTTTCCTCCCACGCCTCCCATTTTCTTCGCACACTTGGCGTCGCATTTATAGTACCTTTTTTATAGTGATTTTTAAAATTAATGTTGCTTTCCCTCTTAGCTCATAATAGAACTGGTTTATCTTAAAAAAAAGAGGTATCTCATACCCTATTTTAAAAACCTTTCTTTATGGATTCAGTATTTTATTTTGAAGTCTCTTGTCAATAATATTTCCACCGCTGTTGTAATACATATGTATGTATGTACATATGAGGTACGATATTTTTATTAATAAACATCAATAAAGAACTCGTTGCCATTGTGCTTGTACATACATATGTACATATAACATTAAGTGTACATACATAAATACCTATTTCCCATCTTTCGCATTCCCGTGGAGGTTTTTTTACCGGTTCCCGTTTAAATATTAAAACTGTTATGTAAGCCAAGTTAAAAAAGGTATAATATATGTGTGTATGTATGTATATAATTAAATACATATATCTGTAGATAAATGAAGATAAAGGGTGAGCAGAGACAAACGGGGGGCAACCCCACACTCTTTACAGGCGTAATATGTATTATATGATACTATTATTATTATTATTATATCTGTGACCTTGAGTGTGGGGTGTCGCAGTTGTTTGAACTCGTCGTTTATGTGTTCGTCATCTGTTTTGTGCGCTCTTCGCAATGTCTTCTGCTTTTGACAGCTGTTTGGCGCCTCTAACGGTTGTTGGCATACCCATCAACTTTTTTGCGGATGAGTCTATTGGGTGCAGCACAATAAGTGTGAAATGTTTTACGATGAAGTAATCGCTTTGAATTCATTCCTTATAGTTATTTTACTTTGTTTTGGTTGCCTGTTTCTAAGGTGGTTTCCATATCGTGGCATTCTTAATTCATTTCGCCATTTGGCTTTGTTTTGACTTTTGCTTTTATCGTGCGTTCGCTTGTTGCTTGGGTATATCACTTGGCGGTTCTTTTATTGTTTTATTTATACCGATCACGCCACTTTTTTGGTTTCGCCATTGCCACCCCTTTTTCACCCAATCGCCCCCTGCCTTGACTAATTTGGCCATCCAATTTACAATATTTGGCAATGGAAACACACCATGTTAATTAAATGATTTACGATTTGTTTGCACTCACACTACACGTGTGTTTATGCAAATATTTGATGGCATTCCCGATCGAACTAGTTCACATGTCAATGTATTGATGAGAGCACCGTTTTATGCATATGTACTATATTCATAATTTATAACTGTTTTTTAAACAGTTAATTATTATTAAACAGTTTAATGGCGCTCTCCTGGTCGAAGAGGGGGCCAAGTGAAGGAACTAAGGCGCAGCTTCGTACCCAAGGAATTCCAGCGAACGCTGGCAGACGACGAGTACCCACAAATTGCAGGCGCTGCGAATATTGTATTGTTGTTGGCCGGAACTATGGCACCGTCTTATCTCTACAAGCAGGCAACTATCTTCTCATAGTAGCGAAAATATTGCATCCGAACGGAAGAGGAAGGGCTGTGTCCACATATTCGATTTTAAACTGTTTGCCTTCCTAGTGTAACATATTTGCCGTGTTAATTTTTTGCATTATGTAGTGTTCATTACAGGATGTGTAAAGGGAAGTACTAAGTAATTGGGATGCGCATCGTAGCCTCAAGTCTGCGTGCCTCGAAATTCGATAGGCAACCAATCTGGGCCCCTGAATTTATGTTCGATTCCATTATTTCACCTTGAGCACAGTCCAAAAACATGACCAGTGTAATACATGTCCCCACAGAAACCTTCAGGGTATGTAATTACGAGTACATGCTCTGTAGAAACCGTTTTTCATAAACAAACCAAAACAGAAGCTGTAAAGATGTCGTAATCTCTTTTCCGTACTTTTCCCAGACGTTTTGCACTGTAATGAAAATTGTTTATGAAAGGGAAAATACTATTATTTTATCTTTTCTGCCTTGTTTTGGGTTTTTAATAGCTTTTAAAGTGACACAAGAACGTACTTAATCTTGTCTCACCGCGCTAAACCCAATACTTCATTATAAAACAAGTTCCTCAACGTCCCCTCATCGTTCAGAAACAACAAGTTGCCCACCCACTTGTTGCCCTTTTTTTTCTTACATCCATTAGATCCATTTTCCTTTCGTTTGCCCCCGTTTGTGCTTGTGTTTTAGCCATATAGCTTGGATTGAGGTAAGAAAGAACCGGTTTTGGCCAGCAGCAATGCGAACCAACTTATTGCGCATGAGGTATTCGAATGATGATTACAACATGCGTCCGAGTGGGAAAACTGCTAGTTCGGGGGGTATTCTTCTAATCAATAAATAATACTATAAATGATAAACTTTTAATCGGTTCGATAACCCTTTGGATAAAGGGTTACATTGTTTGATTGTCGCTCGAGCCTTGTAAATTGACTCACTTTTTTGTTCTGCTTGACTTATCAAGCGATATCAAAAAAATCGTTTCAAGGTGGCCTTTGTTTTTGATCCGTGGCATGACGGTGGCTTGGGAGACGTGGCCCCTTAGTGTGCGCTATTTCTCCATTGAAAAAGAAAGGCAGATAAAGTATGTACGAGTGTATCTAGACCAGTATTTGTTATCGGTACAACACTGAAGTGTCCCTGTCCATTATGAAATTCAACAGGGGAACATCTTATATTCTACCAAATGTGTAAAGATTGTTGCAGAATGGGTAATTAAAAATCTGTGCGTTTGTGTGGAGTAAATCATTGGCTTCACATTAGTCTTAAATAAAAAATGAAAAACAAAAGGATAACGCATACAACAAAAATGTTTATTGAAAATCGTAATAAAGTTTCTGGTTTCCATAAAATCATTTTTAATATGATTGCTTATTCAACCACGGTTACATTGTTACCGCACTAACTGCACTTTGCAAATTGGTCAAAAGTTATCTGGAAAATGTGTTACTTGTAACCCGGTAGCCAAGAACATTTCCACCCATTACGGTACGCCTATAAAAAGAAGATGCAGGTGGGTCAGTTGTCAGAGCACCGAAGCGAAAGCGGTAAAGTAGCCAACTGCAGTTAGTTATCCTTTTGCGCCTCCCGAAATATTCGATGAATCTGTGTAAGTGCACTGGTGAAAAGTCGTAAAGGAGCCGTAGCTAAAGCTTTCCCTTGCAGCAAGTCTTTTTCTTCTGGCCCTCGTGGCATCAGTCGCTATCGGCGCCGGATCTGCCCACAGAATAAACAGGCCCGAACAGAAACCCCCACAGGAGTCGTGTCAGGTCACCACCACAAGGCCGCCATGTGAGACGACCTCGCCACCGTGTCCATCCTCCCCCTCGGAGCCCAACGAGCCGACGACTCCCTCACCTTCACCTTGTGAGACGACCACCACTACGACAACAACCACACTAACGACAACCCCCACGACAACAACAACGACAACAACCACGACAACCACCACGACAACAACCACTACAACAACCACGACAACCACCACGACAACAACCACTACGACAACAACCACTACGACAACAACCACAACAACAACTACGACAACAACCACCACAACAACGTGTTCCCCAACAACAACCACTACACCACAAGAGGAACCCTGTGAGCCCAACGAGCCCTTAACTCCCACTCCATCCTCTCCTTCGGAGCCCAACGAGCCGTCAACTCCCACTCCATCCTCTCCCTGCGAGCCGAACGAGCCCTCAACTCCCACTCCATCCTCCCCCTCGGAGCCCAACGAGCCATCAACTCCCACTCCATCCTCTCCCTGCGAGCCGAACGAGACGACAACTCCGTCACCTTCACCTTGTGAGACGACAACAACCACAACAACGACAACCACCACGACAACAACCACGACAACAACCACTACAACAACTACTACAACAACCACTACAACAACCACGACAACAACTACTACAACAACCACTACAACAACCACGACAACAACCACTACAACAACCACAACAACTACGACAACAACCACCACAACAACGTGTTCCCCAACAACAACCACTACCCCACAAGAGGAACCCTGTGAGCCCAACGAGCCCTTAACTCCCACTCCATCCTCTCCTTCGGAGCCCAACGAGCCATCAACTCCCACTCCATCCTCTCCCTGCGAGCCGAACGAGCCCTCAACTCCCACTCCGTCATCTCCTTCGGAGCCCAACGAGCCCTTAACTCCCACTCCATCCTCTCCTTCGGAGCCCAACGAGCCATCAACTCCCACTCCATCTTCTCCCTGCGAGCCGAACGAGCCCTCAACTCCCACTCCGTCATCTCCTTCGGAGCCCAACGAGCCCTTAACTCCCACTCCATCCTCTCCTTCGGAGCCCAACGAGCCGTCAACTCCCACTCCATCCTCTCCCTGCGAGCCGAACGAGACGACAACTCCGCCACCTTCACCTTGTGAGACGACAACAACCACAACAACGACAACCACCACGACAACAACCACGACAACAACTACTACAACAACTACTACAACAACCACTACAACAACCACGACAACAACCACTACAACAACCACTACAACAACCACTACAACAACCACAACAACCACTACAACAACCACTACAACAACCACAACAACAACCACAACAACCACCACAACAACGTGTTCCCCAACAACAACCACTACCCCACAAGAGGAACCCTGTGAGCCCAACGAGCCCTTAACTCCCACTCCATCCTCTCCTTCGGAGCCCAACGAGCCATCAACTCCCACTCCATCCTCTCCCTGCGAGCCGAACGAGCCCTCAACTCCCACTCCGTCATCTCCTTCGGAGCCCAACGAGCCCTTAACTCCCACTCCATCCTCCCCCTCGGAGCCCAACGAGCCATCAACTCCCACTCCATCCTCTCCCTGCGAGCCGAACGAGCCCTCAACTCCCACTCCGTCATCTCCTTCGGAGCCCAACGAGCCCTTAACTCCCACTCCATCCTCACCCTCGGAGCCCAACGAGCCATCAACTCCCACTCCATCCTCCCCCTCGGAGCCCAACGAGCCATCAACTCCCACTCCATCCTCTCCCTGCGAGCCGAACGAGACGACAACTCCGCCACCTTCACCTTGTGAGACGACAACAACCACAACAACGACGACCACCACGACAACAACCACGACAACAACCACTACAACAACCACGACAACAACCACTACAACAACCACGACAACAACCACTACAACAACCACGACCACCACAACAACAACCACGACCACCACAACGACAACCACTACAAGAACAACCACCACAACCACTACTCCACAAAAGAAACCTTGCGCGCCTACCACCACCACCACACAAAAGCCACTGTGCGAACCAACAACCACACCAACACCCCCTCCCTGTGCTCAGACGACCACCTCCCCACCACCGTGCGAGGAGACAACGACACCTGCCTGCGGCACTAAGGGTGGTCCAGCTCAATTGATTCCCAAGCCAATTAAGGATCTCTTCGCTGGTTCAAGCACCAGCACCAAAACTACTCTTCCGATCGGAACCAGTGCCATGTGTGTTGGTCGCGCCGAGGGAAGTATAGTCCAGGACCCGAATCATTGCAGGAGGTACTATGAATGCCGCGAGGGCCGTCGCCTGTTGCGCAAGTGCCGTACCGGTCTGTGGTACGATTCTGAGGCAGGAGAGTGCCTGCCACGTAGCCAGGTGTTGAACTGCCCGGCTCAACGTAACTGAGACACTTTAGCCGACTCGACGCAACTGGTATGGGATCGCAGCTTGTATTGCAACTTGTATTCGTAGCCAACAGTAACCGCCTACTCAATAAACAGCATATAAATCACATGACATTGTTTCTCTGAATTCTTATTCAAAAGATCAAATAACATTATTTCATGCTATTTCTGCTCAGCAAAACAAAAAACTAATGCAAATTTAATGAACTTATTGAAATGAACTATTCAAACTATATATTCAAACGATGAACTGATTAAGGAACCTCTAGAAATTTTGATTGTCATAAATATGTGATTAAACAACTTAGATTTAAAATCGCAGTTCGTTCTATTAGGTTATATTGATAACATATAACAAAGAATTTCTGATAATATAATGTTGTTTAACTAAAACAGTGTTAACGTTTGACTTCACTAAGAGTCATTAACTTGTGCTAATCAATTTGTTAATTAATTAATTAATTAATGTGATTACGCATATCCCATCAAGTCTTTGATTTGTTTTTTTGCTTTACTGGTGAGTGCCGAGCGGAGAAGGTACATAGATGTGTACGGCTATTCGTATTTCAATAATATCACAATTTGTTGTGTGCGGCAAACAATTCGTTATTGATAACAGTGACGCGAACTCAAAGCTGTCGCATCCGCTTTCGATGATTATGTTGTACACGAATAACCCCCGAATGGGTGCGGTCTGAACTCCCTCTCAAGACAATTTCTTATCGCACCTTATCGAGGACAGTTCAATATGCGTTTTACAGAATGGAAATCAATTCGAAAGCGTCGGGGAATTGATATCAATGAAATGGCACCCATAGAGAGCTCATTGCATATTCATTGCAAACTAAAAGCAAACTAGCGGAAAATACCGCAAAAAACCGCGCGATTATCAATGAAAAATGCTGGCAAAGGTATCCTGTAAATTTGCATCGGAATAGAAACCAAGGCCGCTTGGGGTCAGAAAAAGTGGAGGAAAACGAACATTGATCACAACGCGTGATCGTGATCGTGATCGGCAATCAGCACCCATCACCATGATCAAGTGCGACGGTTGAGAAAAGCACTTGTGGCCGCAATTCTCTCGGTCTGGCTGCTGGTTGATTTGCGAGGTAATAAATGGGGGATGCTATTCTCGCATTACGATTGCAAATCTAGCTAGACACGTGCCGGCTGAATGTGCTTCGCTTCGGCGGTTGGGTCCAAAGATCTCGTGTTGCCTTAAAAACCTAATTTACTTATAAGTATATAATCTACTTAATGCTGCTTAAGTTATTTTGAATTGTTTTCTGCCAACTTGTCTGTTTTGGTATATATGTATGCAATGCCTAGAAGAAAATTCAGATTTATACTAATACCGGCTTGAAATCATTATATTTAATTGCAGGTAAACTTTTTGATTTGCCAAATATCGGCTCTCTTTTTGGCGTCGCTCTTCCGGTCGATGCTGCATCCTTCGAAGGTTTCCAGCAAATTGCGTCACACATTCGCTCTATCGATTGGCCTGGCCTTCGGCTACTTTTGCTTTGGTCAGCAGGCAATCCACATTGCCGGATTGCCGGCAATATGTTACATCGTCATCCGCACCCAAGATCCGCGCATTGTTCAAAGGTAATTACCACATTTGAAATTCCAAGCCTGTGGCTTAATAATTGACATTTTAGAGCCGTACTGCTGGTAGCCATGAGTTATCTGCTGTGCGTACATCTGATGCGCCAGCTATACGATTACGGATCCTATGCCCTGGACATAACCGGGCCACTAATGATCATCACTCAGAAAGTAACCAGCCTGGCGTTCAGCATTCACGATGGCTTTGTGCGGGGCGATGAGGTAAGTGTGCAGAAGGTCCATTGCTAGCTATCACGTGTCACAACTCATCTTCGTTTGATAGGAACTCACCAAGGCGCAGCAGTACCATGCCATTCGTAAAATGCCCTCTGCTTTGGAGTACTTTTCCTACGTGTGGCACTTCCAAAGCATCCTAGCCGGTCCTCTCGTTTTCTACAAGGACTATATCGAGTTCGTCGAAGGCTACAATTTGCTGAGCACTCCACCGGGCAATGTAAGTTTAATTGTGTCACCTGAATTTCTAATAACCTCAGTAATTTAATTAGCGATGTGTAGGAATTCGAGTTGCTTATTTGGTCTTGACGCTCTTTATGAAAAGATATTGCATAAACATTTTATGAAACCATTAAAAACAATTATAAATTTACAACTTGGTATTTCTGTTTCTAGTCAAATAGCGATTGAAAAATTCAATTTACTTTAAAAACGATTTTTAAAATATCTTTTTCAGGGCAATCTCGACATCAGCAAGAGAGAAGTAGTACTGGAACCTTCGCCGACTAAAGCGGTAATACGTAAAGTGGTTGGTAGTCTTGTATGCGCTTTCATCTTCATGAAGTTCGTGAAAATATATCCCGTGAAAGACATGAAGGAGGATGACTTTATGAACAATACTAGCATGGTCTACAAGTACTGGTACGCCATGATGGCTACCACCTGCATACGCTTTAAGTATTATCACGCCTGGCTCCTAGCGGATGCCATATGCAACAACTCAGGTCTAGGTTTCACCGGCTATGATAAGGACGGAAATTCCAAGTGGGACCTGATATCAAACATAAATGTGCTGTCGTTCGAGGTGGGAAATGAAAAAAACATATAACATAGCATAATTATATTACAAATATTTTAATTGTGATGCTAGTTTTCAACGAACATGCGCGATGCCATCAACAACTGGAACTGCGGCACCAATCGCTGGCTGCGAACACTTGTCTATGAACGGGTGCCCAAGCAGTACGGCACGCTCCTTACCTTCGCCCTCAGCGCCGTCTGGCACGGCTTCTATCCGGGCTACTACCTGACCTTCGCCACCGGCGCCGTCGTTGTGACAGCTGCGCGCACCGGCCGGCGGCTCTTCCGTCATCGCTTCCAGAGCACTCAGGTCACGCGAATGTTCTACGACATCCTCACCTGCCTGATCACACGCGTGGTACTGGGCTACGCCACATTCCCATTCGTTCTGCTTGAATTTATGGTAAGTCTGAATTGGGAATTCGAATATGATGTCGATAAGTTAGAAAGAAAACATGCAAACAAACCAACAAACAAAAGCTATGTGCATAAATGTGTTAAGTCTTGAATATCAATGGGATGCTTTAGGATACTTGGAATCTAATGGACATTTCTTTAAAGTAACCGTAAAAAGGGTTTTGGTATTTATTTGACATTCGGCAAAACAATGTAACTAGATTTATTGCATATGGTTGAAATCAATTCAAAATTGCGGTTACAGTAAACAAACAACCTAAAATATTTCTTAGTGTTCAGGGTACTAAAAATATTAAAATATAACATCAACGAAATAATTGCTAAACATTTTTTCATTAATTACTTGCAGGATATTTCTTCTATTTCTTAGCATAAACATGAATCCACTCACTCTACATTAAATTATATTTATTTAAAGATCACTTATTAACTGACTTCACTTTTTCGCTTTACAGGGCAGCATCAAATTGTACCTGAGATTTTATTTGTGCCTTCACATCATTTCACTAGTGACCATATTTATTTTACCCAAGTTTATACGCGGCGAACGCCGGCTTCGGACGTCGAATGGCAACGGAAACGTGCGCTTGTCGGGCAGCGGCAATACCAAGGATGCAGTGACCACTAGTGTGGAGTCGAAAGCAGCCTCAACCGCAGCCAATGATCTCAACGAGGATAGGGAGGAGGATAAACACGCTCAATGTAAAGCCAACACGCCCACACACCAGCAGCCAGCTGCTGGCCTACACAAAACAACCGTAGAACAACCAACCGAGCAACCAAACAATGTAAATCTTCCACCACGCCCACAGCAGCAGCCACATCTTGAAAAGAAGGCAATGCCCACATGTGCCCGGGACGCCGTTAGTGTACCTCATGACCAATGCGAGATGGATCAGTTGTCCAGCAAGCTTAAGGAGAAAATCGAGGCGGAGACCAAAAACATAGAGGAGTTTATTGATAAGACTGTTACCGAAACCGTGAGCGGCATAAAAGAGTTCAAGAACGACCTGATGCGGGACATCGAGTTCCCCAAACTAAAGCTTCCCGGCAGCAACGGCGGAATTTATTCGGACTCTTCAAATAGCGGTGGGCTGCGCAAACGCAACATATCCTCGGTTCATGACAATGGCACAGATCCTGGCCATGCTACCGCTGACCTCCATCCTCCCCTTGAGGAGAACGGCGCCGCCTTCCTAAAGAAGGAGATCGAGGTAATCAACGCGGTGGTGCAACAAGCAGTGCCGGCAGTGCTTAGCAACGGTCATGCAAAATAGTAGCATTGCCCAGCAAGTGAGAGGAGATCGAACAAAACAACGATGACGATGACAGTGGCACGGCAGGGATTGGAGGCACTCAGAGGCCAAAATGGGTGCTCCACATCTGATTGATTGTTTAATATATACACTGCGAGATTTATCCAATACGCACACGATGTACGCACACTACATTCAATTGCAACAAATTTTTGGTTTCACATTTAATAAATGGTTTTCGTTGACAATCCTGAAGTAAAAAAATTGTTTACACCAATGTAAGTGTCTAGGACTGCTGATTATTTAAGAAATAACTGAAATACACTTACATGTTTATCAGCAGCTAATATCCTTGTTTAAATGAACTAAATGTGCACAAAAACTCTAATTGTTGTTAAAAAAGAAGTCTATATACATTTCTAGTTATTTGTTTGTTAATATCCCACGGCCTGATACGAACAGTGTGTTTTAAGCAACCCAACACATATCCGCTAGAGTAATTAAAACCCACGTCAAACCCACGAGCAAATATATTTTAATGAGTTGATTTTAAAAACACAACACAAAAACAAAAAAACGCACTGTTTGATTCACGCATTTTATCGAAAACTAATCCATATATATGTACGTAAGTCTGCATATGTTGAAATGTTTACCATATAGTCTATGTGCGAACCACTAAATCAATTTTGCAGTATAATTACTAATGTAGTTCAAATCCCGCCCGAAGGAACAACAACGTGACAAGTAGAACCAATGATATCCTCTTCAAGCAAAAAAAAAAGCCTAAAACAAAAGTCAACCAAATCCTAACTTTAGACTGATGCTATTGACATTTACTAAGCAAACAAAAAGCAAATCGTGCGTAGATAAAGTTAGTTAGTAAGCCGTCGAGTTGATTTTGATATTCAATTTAAACCAATTTTTGTACAAGTGCGGAAGAGTATCTGGAAGGGAGTTCCAGCTTGCTTCCCATTTATAAATCCTTTCCAAACCGGCTTTTTAGCTGGCTCTTTTTGTACATGTTCGTGTCCTCCACTTGTGGCTTCCTACTCCGTAGCTGTTAAGCATGCTCTTTATATAACCTTTTGTTTTACCCATTAATTTGTTAAATCCAATAAACGATTTTGCCAGAAATCCTTACACTTAATCGATATATTTTTATATTTATTGTAATAACGAGTCGAAAACAACCACTCTTACCGTGAGCGAAATCTCAGCGCACATACGTTTCGATTGTCGTGGTTTTCTCCTGGAAATGCGCCGGAGAAGATTTCGACAGGCACAAAACACTAAGGTGTTAAGCAGTCCAGTCGCCTAAGATATACAAAACCAATTTCAGCATGATATTCGACAAATAAATCGTATATGTGTAATTTACTGGTGTCCTTCATTACTGGATTATTTTCAGGAAATTTTCAGTATGTAGAGGTGAAATTTCTTTGTCTCGGGTTTCACCGAAGCGTTTCCATTGCCTTATTGATGCGGAAATCGAAGTTCATAATCTTTATGTGCATATCGATGGATGATGGGATTACCTTGTACGGTTGCACCACGGGCTTTCCGACGACCAAATCAATATGTGATATGTGTATTATTGGTACATACATTAATAACTAATCCCGCAAGAGCCACAGAGACAATGAACTGCAACATTAGTTACCAAGGTTTTTTTTATAAAGAGGCATTTTGAAATGTTCTTATTAAAACATAAAAATCGCTGTTTCAATTGTTCTTAGAACTCGAGACTACCGGTTTTCTTATAGAACTCATCCTCGCCGCGCGATTTTAAGACGCACAGGTGCACAGCCTGGGACTGGGCTACTCCGAAATCGAAGTCTCCAAAGCGCTTAAGAATCTCGCGGGCGTCAAAGCTGTTACCGGACTTCATTGCCTCATTGGCGTAGCGTTTGTTCATCACGGTCATGTGCAGTTTAATGGATTTACGTTCAATATGGTGTGTAGCGCACAAGCCTGTAGTCTGAAAGTGGGCCAGACAGTTATCCGCAAACTTCTGTAGATCCGGGCACTCGATGCGGGCATATAGAACGCTAGTAGAGCTTGGATCGTCGTTCATAATCTCCAGGCCCTTAACTCTTACTTCGAAAGGTGTTTTTGAACCATCCAGTAAGCGACGACAGGATTCCAGGTTCCGGAGGGCTTCTTGGCGTTCACCGTCATCTAGCAGCACATAGATACCTAAGGTAATATGGATGCAGCACTCCGATATGAATAGCTCCTCATCGATGCCTGGCAACTCGGCCTCCAAAATGCATTTCTGGGAAAATTAGGAAATCAGTATTTATTGAACAAGATTTTGGCTCATACCTTTAGCTCCACAAAACGCTCCTTGACTTCTCCAAAGTTTAGAGCCAGTGCCAAAAAGTGTGTGGGTTTCATTTTTTTACGTAAGGAGGCTACGAGATGGCGGATTTGCCGCAGTGCAGCGCATAGTTGATTGCGTTGCTTGGCCCTGATAGTCACTTCGTTTGACTTCTCGTTCTGACGTGGAACATAGATCTCTGTTCGGGTCTCTTCCTCGATGCGGCGCTTCGTAGATCCTTTCATGCCTATTAGTCCACCGTAAAATGATCTGCAAGGATACACTGTGTCAGAAATGTCGCCAGCCGTTTCTAAGATTCGACCCACTTGGACACATGAATAGAAAGACTAAAATCGCCACTTGCTGACTCCTCAATATATTTGAGAGCCTCATCGTCCTCGTCATCATCATCACCATAAAGATCTGAAAAGAAGTGGGTTCACGTGGGCCAACCAATACAACAACCAATACCTGGCTCCTCGTAGGCTTTGTTTTCTGGTGTAGCCAGTTTGTTTTGACTATTCCACTTGGCGCCACCGAAGTCGTCGTGAACAACGTTGACTCTATAGCGCCTGTTCTGACTCATCCTTTGGACGGACGGTGATAACACTTCGCGACTCATGGTGATTGAAAATATTCAGGACGCTGTTATAATTACGGGGATATCTCGAAATCAAATGTAATTTGAATGAACGACGACAAGCCGGCAATGATGAATCTTTACTTTGGGTTATTAGGCACTACTTTCATAAATACCAAACACGAATGAATATTAGTGATGGCACCTACCTATTTAAGTACTAAAATCAATTATTTTGGATAAAATTTTCTTTAATCATTTTCATATTTTATTTTCAACATATAGAGCTGGGGTTTTAATAATTTAGTATTAGATCATATTACATTACAAAAAATATAAATCGTAATAAAAACTAATAATCGTAAAAGTTATTACAGTACCGTAATAAAAATGTGAGAATTAATCATTTATTTAATTTATGTAACAAGCCTATCCAAACTCAACAAGTCAAAAATTTACTACTATGCTGAAACGATGGTCCAGAATTGGTTATCTATTGAAATTATCATAATCGATAGTATCGTGTCACGTCACGCTGACTCTGTCATCCACAACACACAAATCGACCATCCCTAAACCAATTCGAGTTCCCCCAATTTGACAGCCAAAATTTAGTTGATTTCATCTGAAAAAGCAGATTAACTGGGAAATACTACCGAAAATGTCGCAGCGTTAAGGTGAAAGGTGAAAGCACCTGTCCGCCCCAAAGGGGAAGCAAGCAAAAAGATTTGACTATAGCCTTGAAAGCCAGTGAATCACTAGAAGATAAAGACATTGGATTGGTCAGTGGAGCGCCCGCTGGAGGAGCACCCACAATTGCAGACCTTTCGATCGCCCCCAATCCGCTCCAGCTCCAGGTGGAGGTGACACCAACGCCCCGAGACACACGCGCCCTTTCCGAAGTTGTGGCCCACTTAAATAGAATGGGCAACGACGATCATCGACGGCGAAAGACACCCTGCGGATTTTGCATGGCAGTCTTCAAATGGATACCAGTGCTTTTTATTACAGCGGTAATAGCTTGGTCCTATTACGCTTATGTGGTGGAGCTATGCATCCGTGAGTTGTATTTACCGCCTTGCAGTTGGGGATCATAACCTGATGTTTCGCTTCCTTCTTCAGGCAACTCGCAGAACGGCATTGCTATGATCTTCATGCTTCTGTTCTACCACCTCTTCCTCACCCTGTTCATGTGGTCTTATTGGCGCACCATAATGACCTCCGTAGGCCGAATACCGGATCAGGTGAGTGAATCACACGCCTTATCAGCTCGTGCTATCAAAAGAAACCGGAAACCACTATAATACTCTATTGGTAATCCCTCGTTTTTAGTGGCGGATACCAGATGAGGAAGTGTCGCGACTTTTCCGAGCCGACAGTCCGGAAACCCAGAAACGCATTCTCAACAACTTTGCGCGTGATTTGCCAGTAACGAATCGGTAAGTATATTCAAAATTGTTTATAATACAGAGGCTTCGAACTTTATAGTGCATTATCTTCTTTGATTCATATAACTTTATCAAACAAAACCATTTTATCTAAGATTTGACCCATTGTCCCAATTAAGACATTGGCAAATGCTTTTTCAGTAGCAAAACAAATATGACAGCGAATTCCCAAACGTTTTTGATAATGTTTGAACATTTGTTCTACAGCACAATGAATGGTTCGGTGCGGTTCTGCGAGAAGTGCAAGATCATCAAGCCAGACCGAGCTCACCACTGCAGTGTGTGCAGTTGCTGCGTACTGAAGATGGATCATCACTGCCCCTGGGTAAACAACTGCGTAAACTTTTACAACTACAAGTACTTCGTATTGTTTCTGGGCTATGCGCTCGTCTACTGCCTGTATGTGGCGTTCACCTCGCTGCACGACTTTGTCGAGTTCTGGAAGGTAGGTGCAGTAAGTTTCCGATTCTTTTCTACTCTTACTACCACCCTGAATACCCCGCTGCATGCGAAGACCTGTTAGTTAATGAATGTATTTTCTCGTTTTGCTGTAATGTTATCTAAACTGCTTGTACTTACTGATCCAAGTACGATAATAATGGTTACTCGGCACAGGGACAGCTAAATGCCAGCGGAATGGGGCGTTTTCACATCTTATTCCTGTTCTTCATTGCCATTATGTTTGCCATTAGTTTGGTGAGCTTGTTTGGCTACCACATCTACCTTGTGCTGGTGAATCGCACGACATTGGGTAAGTACCTAAAGTCTGACTTAGACATCACATGCATACTATAGCCTCTTTAATGTACCTTTCATTTAGAGTCGTTCAGGGCTCCCATTTTCCGCGTTGGCGGCCCCGATAAGAATGGCTATAACTTGGGCCGCTATGCCAATTTCTGCGAGGTATTTGGCGACGACTGGCAATACTGGTTCTTGCCTGTGTTTTCGAGGTATTTACTGGTTTATTTACTACACCATATAGATTTGTTCTATTTTCACATAACCATTTTAACTAATTCGTGCTGCACCACTCTCACTCTTTAGTTGTTGTTCTTGCTCACTTTTGTTTAATTGGATTTGATTTAATGGTTATTTGATTTTGATTTTTATGTTGATTTCGGCAAATTAAAGGCATGTTTAAAAGTTAAGGTTTTGTAGTTAAAACCTTAAATATTTTTTATGTGTATTCTGTGTGCTAAGAAAAGCAAAAGAATATTGAAAACCACAAATTTTATATTAACTGAAAGCAATTTCTAACACGTATAATTTATGTAAACCAATAATACCTGTGTGTGCTTAAAAATGAGAGCGGGAAGCAATGAATCTATGTTGTCGATCTCCTTTTGTAATTTAGTTTTAAGCCAAATTCCAATTAGCACTTTATTTCAATTGCGTTCGTTGCTTATTTTTGTAAATAAAATGAAACGAATCTTGCCAACGATTTTTAGAAATAGACACTTAGATCTAACCAAAACAAGCTTAGTAAGCAATTGTCCGCCCCATAAAGTGACTAATTTAAATTGTCAAAGTTAGTTTGAATTTCGGACGGAACTTTTGGAATTTTATATGCGCATTAAGCTTCTTTAAAACCAAAACACTTGCCACACACAAAAAGTCGATTCCATTTTAATATTCGTACTCACACATCTGTGCAAAATTATATTAAAAAAAAAAATGCAAAAAACAACAGCTACAACTACAACAAGCTAAACTGTAAAAAAAAAACAAATACAACTTGAAAACTTAACAAACAAACAATATTTATGTTTAAAACTCTCTTGTTAACGCAATACCCCAACCTTCTGCTTATTCACAATCACGGAACTAGTCGCGGTGATGGCTACAGCTATCCGACCTCCAGCGACCAGAGTCGAGTGTCCACCACCTCTCCCGTCCAGCGGTACGATGCCATGGGAGATACGGCCACCAGCAGGTTAGATGGCAATCCAACAGATAAGTTGATTGGCGCTAGTCCCCTCGACACCACTAACCATCACCACAACCAATCGCCTCATCAAGTAAGAAGCACCAGCGTCCAGCCAACCCAGCTGTTGCAGGTCCAGCCGTCATCTCCATACCAGGACGAACTCAACGGGCGGCAGGAGCAGCTGGCAAACGGCAGCACGGCAGCAGCCAGGTCTAGCCCGGCCGAGTGTGTAGTCAATGGGGCAGCCGTATACATTGATATGACCATCGGAGACCATCCGTTAAAAGGCGCTGATCCTGCCAAAGGTTCCCCACGCCCGGCGAATGGCGATCTGCCAGTTTGAATAATAACCATGTTTCTGTAGAATGTATTATACGTTTGTACCATAGAGCCAAGTAAACTGCCAGATTTGTGAGCGTTGCGGTTTGTAGTAAGCAAATAAGTTACCTCTATGCAATTCATCAGCTGTTTAGTGTAGGCTATTTAAATGTTTAAATGGCTGGGACCACAATATAAATCAACACCTAGCTATAATCGACTAAGTTAACATTAGGCAATATTTCATTGGTTTCACACACGCATTTATCGAAATTTTTATGGACATCGAATATGGAATTTCCTGTTAGCTAAGATGGTGATCTCCTTCGAAGATTTGTACCTTGCTAATGCATTCATGAAACCAACTATTCTTGTAGATATCAAACGATCTTCAAGACTTCAACCTAATGATAAGCAAATGAGATTTCAGTACACATTATTAACACACACGGAATTCAGTAATTTCCAAATGGTTTTAATTTATGTAGTTAGTAACTGTTTGCAAGTTTTTATACTTTTTATTACTTTGTACACCTTTATGCCCAAATACATTTTTTATTGAACTTCTGCAAGTGACGAAATTAAATGGATTTTAAAATATATTTAAAACTTCAACAAAGGTTTGTTTTTAGTTTGCCAATTAAAACAAACATGACAGCTTTGCTTCAGCTGCACAGCACCGAATCTACAATCAATCCATTATATACAAAATAACGCACTCATTACTTATCTATCTCCTACTATGGTCAATGATCTCTAACATATAATTCACCACCACACATCCTTTAGCTTTGGCGATGGCAAAACGTTTCCGATCCGACATATGGAGGAGGACACGGAGTCTTTGCTGGGATATCACAGCGATACGCGCATCGAGTTGGAGGAGGACTTTCTGCCAGAGCCGCGATTCCAAGACTCGATTCCATAGCTAATCATGACCAGTGACAATGTAGCTACATATTACATTTAGAGATTCAGTTGTAAAGCCTCCTTACGACATATACTTTCGGTGTGTAAATAACAGAGGTACTGACAGTCCATCCTATAGGGACACTTAGGTTATTATGTTTAAGTTACCAATGAGTCGATGGACAATTATAATGTATATGTATGTAAGTGATACTGCGAGAAGTGGTGGGAGATCGAAATCTAAATTCTTGCTTTGACATTCGCGTTAAAAATTTAAAATCGTATTAATTTAGTGTGTAAGGATAAAGTTATTAGAACATTTCGAACAAAAGTATATGTCTATATAAGAATATAGCTCGTTATGCGTCAACAAAAAACAGAATAGTTTACACGCTTATTGGAATAACGAAAAAATCAAAAACGAAACTTTAAGCAACACATACGGATCTGTATATTTACAAAAATAAAATTCCAACTATTCCAATTAATCAAACCTACTTAAGTCGTCACCTGCACACGATTGGCTTTTTCCAGAAACGGTGGTGGAGGAAACCACTTCAAAATCGTCTTCTGCTGGGGTGCTTTTCGCTAATGCCTCGGAGGAATCGGCAAAGGGATTGGCCGTCAGTCGAGCCATTTTTGGCAATGGTTTTGGAGACGAAGGTTCATCGACGACTGCTTCTTCAGGAGTGTCTTCTACTTGCTTTCTTTTCTTCTGCTTTTTGCTAACTAAAACATCTCGGCGCACTGCAATGCCTGTATCCTCACTTTTAGGTAGAAGATCACTCAAATCGGTCTCTACTTCAGCCACTTGGGGTTGCAATTTCTCCTGCAGAGCGGCTAAAGCAATCAGCAAGGCTTCCTCGGTGCGAATGGTTCGAGATCCTTGGCGTGGCAAAACATTTACATAGTGGTCGAATAGCAGCTCAGGATCATCTACGGTCAGTTTCTCGTCGTTGGCCAATGCAGATTCCAGGCCTTGTAGTCCGCCAAATACAATAAGCATATGCTTGAAGCTATATGATCGATTTGGCACCTCATGCACGTTGGTTCCGCGATCCGAGGTACCCAGCGTAACATCGTAGCCGGATGCGTATGGTGATTTGGTAAAAATCTCCGACAGGGAGTGTGCGATACGCACCTGGTAGCCCCAATAAACACCTGTTTCCCGACGTGGTTCATCCGGGCTAACTAGTGTTCCCCGCTGCTTTCTACAATTCTCTGTTGGGGAGAATAATCCCATTAGTTCAGATCTAGGCGCACAAATGCGCGGTTCAAGTACTTACCACTTTGAGGTTCCATTTTCACAGTCACCCTGACGCCTGGTTCTATAGCCTTGTCCACCAGAACGTCGTTAAGCAGCCCCACGTTGGCGTAGCTGTGTCCCTCCTTGGCCTTCTTGTCGCAGATGACGCCCTCACGATACCTGAATTTGCTCTGCTGCCGCAGATGGTGCGGCGTGTCCAGCGGGTTCAGCAGGCCAGAGTACTTAAGGTCTTTGTGCAGCGGAAAGAAGTACTTTCGCAGATACTGCGGGCATTCAAGATACTGTAAAATTCGGGCAAGTTGCAGGGAGCTGCTGCGCACGGTGCCAGTGCCACTGCCTTCCGCATCTGCCTCGTAACTGCGCTTTGTTTCCCGGGCGGTGGCTATACCAACGTCGTCAAAGACGATTACCTCGTTCACCCGGAAAATGCAGGCGGCCCGGGCTATTTGACCGGCCACATAGGCCCGTAGCTCGTTGGATTGGGCATTCTCGAGAATGGAACCGGGCACAGCTATGCTTAGCGTGGACGGATTGGGTTGGTCCTTTGCCTGAACCTCATTGGAGCCCTGCTTCGCCTGTGATTCTGCCTCTTTGGCTTGCTGCAGCTCCTTGAGCAGCTTGTCCTGCTTGCGCTGGCGCTTTAGCGCCTTTCGCTCCTCGTTCACCTTCTTCCAGGACTTGTGGGGCTCCGTGGGCCTCCCATTGCTGATGTCTGCGGGGGCGGCGGGCATAGTTTTTATCAACAATCCCTTGATTCGGTTGAAATCGTTGCAAACAAAACACGCACGTGCACACTCAGTGGACAATGCGTCTAATGTACAAAATACCAGAGTTGGTATTTATCGGTTAATGGTATTAATTGTGAAATAATACTATGCTACAGACAGATTTTCCAAAATCAATTTCTTGTACCTTTAATTCTGTCAGTAGTTGATAGTAGTTCCGGGTAGTTGATCTGATTCAATGAACAATGGGAAGTAACAGTCCAAAAGGGCACAAGGCGAAACCACTATCACAAAGAAAACCATTCGAAACTAGCATATCGCAAAATGAGTCGCAGATCACACAATTTGGACAGATGCCCGCCGAAAACGAAATTCGGAAAGCACATGCAGTCAAAAGTAGTACAAATGGGCTCCCATCCGTTGATGAAGCGGTGTACTATCTAAAAATCAGAGTATGGGGCCGGAAAGTAGACGTGGACTATACTGCATACTGTGCCGCCATAATAAGGGAGTACCTGGCTAAGAGAGACCGCGTATCTTACAAAACCCAACTGGCAGTGATGAAAGGAGCTATGGCGATGCATATCGCAACATTGAACGCCTACCCGTGGGACATGTCCGCCGTCAGGAAATACAATGACAGTATTAGCCAGATGAATGTCGCCCTTGCGGAAAACACGTGGACACCAAGATCGAGTGATCCGATCCAGTGCCTCTGGATTTTAAAATGGTTTATCCTACTTCTCGTAATAATATTTTTGGGCCACACGATGGTAGACTGAATTTATTACGACGACCGACAGAAGTACAAAAATAAAAATGTTTTTATTTAATTGTGTTTTATTTTTACCTACTCAAAATGGTGAACTACAAACATTTGAGGATCAAATAGATGCCTGAATGCAGATTTTCCTCTTAAAACTGGAAAATCTAGTTAATTTTAGACAGTATATTTGTTTATCTTGACAGTTGAATTCTTTAGTTAATGATATCAATAGAACACATTTAGTATGTGCTTTATCAAATTGTGTGTAATAGAAATTGACTCGCATTTCAATATAGCATTTTTTATATTAAAATGTGTTGGTAAAGTTCTCTTTAATTTGGGAAGTAATCCTTTTGTAAACATATTATTTTTTTAAATTTGTATAATATGTGAAGACAACCGTTGCAAAGCTGACGTTACAATTGTCCCGCTTTGGTATGTTCTTTAGTATTTTTTCACCCACACGAAAGAGACCCAGCCGGGAGAGAGCTTCCGCTGAGAGCGAGCTTTCGCGGGAGCACCGAGTCTATATAAGCAACCCGCAATTCAAAACTTTTTGTAATTTTTGCCTGACACGGAATCGGAATACAGAGGCTTCTGCTTGCGATATATTTCACCGTTCGCACTTGTTTACGTTTGCCATTAAAAATTTTCCAAAAAAGCTAGCGAGTAACAACGGTTGAATCGCCGGTGGAAAATATATAGAACGTGTGCCGTTGTGCGTTGGTGGATTGCTGGAAAATGTGCGTTTCAAAGTTGAAAAGCCCGAAAAAACCAAAAAGCGTGCTCGCCAATTAACTCCAGCTTCGCGCCGCCCTCTGCCCCCCGCCCCACACCTGTTCGCTCTTCACCTCTCGCTCTCTCTTCAATTGTGCAAGTGTATGTAAAAATGTGAGAGCAGAGAGCAACAAAAAAATCACACTACGTGCGCGTAATAAAAAACGAGGTGGGCTGCGGGTGGGGGGCGGTGTAGGTGGTCTGCCTCCCAATCCCTCCCCCGAAAAATACAATATACATACATACAAAAATCTACCTATCCGCTGCTGTTGTTGTTACTTGAAGGTTTTTTCGGTGGGGGACAATCAATAAACACGAGAGCTGCGTGTGGAAAAGAGATAGCGAGTGTGGAGTGCAGGTGGAGAAAGGGGATCTCAAATGGGAGCGCGAAGAGTGAGAGCGAGAGAGAGTGAGAGCGGGGGAGGGGTTGGAGAGAGAAGCTTGCGCATATGATTCAAATGCCGGTTTTAAACGCACTTTTTTCGAGTCTTAAACAAGTGCAGCGAGCAATTAACTAATTACTTGTCCTAACCAGCAGTCATTTGGCTTGCAAGATATCATATCTGGTTAGGATAGCTGGAGTAAGGCTTGAAAAAAAGTGCAAGTGCAAGTGCAACGGCTACCTGCGTTATCGCCGCCTATCGATATTCGGGGAAATTGGGTCACGGGCGCCAGCTTTGGCCCTACATTATTACAAGCCCAAAATAGTTAAATAGTCAAGGAAAATAAAGTCAATTTTTGGGGGTCAGCGTAGGAGTTGCAAGCAACGAGAAGATAAACAACGATACATGCCTCGATTATACACAAAAACCAAAATGTTTATTTAGGCCAAATAAATTGAACAAATACATTAGCAAAAAAACAAAATTTCCTCTTTCTGTTAGCAGGTTTTGTAACATTTTAACATTCAGCAAAATAATCACGTAAATTTTTTCGGTAATTTGTGTTTGCAAAGTGACAACTAGAATTACATATTATTTATAACCCGACAAATGAATTGTGGTGGCTCGTTGTAGCAATTCAAAAATAAACAACAATTGCAGTTAAGCACACACGAAAACAAAAATGTTTATTCAAGCGAAAAATAATTTCGGGCACCCAATTAATTAAGCAGTTACA